ATGAGTTTATTTCCATTTTTGACACTTTATTACACAATACACGATAACAAGTTTACCATCATTTTTACATAATCAACTATTAATGTTGTAAAGATGCAGGAAATATCAAACAAACACTTTTACGTATCTTATTAGTTAAATAATGAGATTGTTAACATGCCTTAGAATTGAATCAAGAGGAAATGTGAAAAAACAGCACAACTTCTAAAATAATGGCCCAATTATGCTGATATTCGAACTCTACCTGCGTTTTAGTAAGATTGACCACTCCTGTGAGTATAATGACAATTGGCCAATCTATTTTTCTTATATTGTGTTATCAGTGTTGCATATATGTTGAAAAAAGTGAAAAGACAGCATAACTCCCCTAAAAATGGCCTGATCATGCTGATTTTCGAACTTGACCTGCGGATTATGAATATTCATCAATTTTGTAAGTTTCAAGCCAAAAAGTAAAATGGTTTTCCACTTATCGTGTTATCGGTGCTGCATATATGCTGAAAAAAGTGAAAAAACAGCATAACTTCCCTACAAGTCACCCCATCATGCTGATTTTCGAACTCGACCTGCGTATTATGAATATTCATCAGTTCTGCAGGTTTCAAGCCAAAAGAAAAAACCGTTCTTCACTTATCGTGTTATCGGTGAAAGTGCACGACGGCGACGACGGCGACGACAGCGACGACGGCGACGACAGACGCAGATGATGGCTATATGTACAGACACATCTGTGTCTGTACATAAAAATGATACCCATGAGATAAGGAGCACCCTAAAGCAAAATGTACATTATAGGGGTCTACCAATATGTACATGTATTGTAAGAAACAAAGCTTATTAAGAAGTCCAAAACATTACAGAGAAATTTGAAGTTAAAAATTCATTTTTGGCTTTACCTCAGGGCCTGCAGTTTTATGTATCACCTACATGTAAATCAAGGTAATTATCTTAATTTATATATCAAATAAAGTTCTGAACTCAATCTGTATTTGAATGTCTTTTCCAGTGTTAAATCGGTCATTAAATGTTGTCTTTTGATCAAGTAGTTAAAATAATGCAATGCCAATTACTAGCGTAATTGTAATAGCGTAACATTCCTTCCTTCTATTTGCAGTTATAAGTAGGTCACTCCTGAGCTGTTGAAACCTACAATTTTATTGACCGGATTGACCTACTTTCATGATATTAAATTAATAGGAAAAGTAAATGTAATAGAATTACAATAAAAGACCTACCTTCAAATATAATTTGTGATAAGATTCTACACTTCCTTACAACAAAACACACCGAGTGCTAAGTGGAACAGGATTTGTGCACAGTGAAACACACCCTATTCTTCGCTTGGGTGCTTTGGTACGTGCTATAAATAGCCTGGGAATTTCCCATGGTGTTTCTTTTTAGGGCCCTTTCTTGGATAGGCCACTTTCTTGGAATACAAACAAGTATATTGCTAATTAGTGTTGAATAAAGAACTAAATATTTTGGATAATATGATGTTGTTGTTGTTCTGGACTTTAAATGACTTATTGACAGTGGCACTCATGTATGCAGACAACAAGAGACCGAAAGTAAAGACAGTATGAAAAGTGACGTGGAAATGCCCTAACTAAACACAATACAAAAGGTGCATGACGTAAAAAAAAAACCAGTTTCGTATGGTTCATGGCAGATTCCACGCGCTGTGTTAAATATGATATAAAAACGTTTTGAAAATATTCAAATCAAAATGGAGGAAATAATCCAGGTAAGTCTGTATACAACTGCATGCTGTTCAAATTAAAAATATACTCACAGTTGCTTTACCCATGCTTAATAAATTATCTTGTAGCGGTAGAATACCATTGTTTGAGATTCCATGATCATAGTATGATATGCTTATGATTACAACTTGGACCATATATTTATCTGTACTGTTAAATAACAGGTGATCAACCATGATTTGCTTTATGATATGAAGAACATGTGCAACTTACACATCCAGCTACGTGCATGTAGGCGGGACATCATAATTAATTGTGTATATAAAATACCACTGGTACTAGCGTACATAATACATAGATGTATAAATTATTATAATACGTTAATTATCTACATTTATACATCTAAAGATATATTTTAACATTTCAAAAAAACACTTACACTTGTAAATTGGTTGTATTTATTGAACACCTTTATTGTTTCCTATACTTCAGCTTGAGCAAAGTAGTAGGGGTTCTTGAAGTTACTTTTTAAAAGAAAAGAATTTTTTTTTTTTTTTTTTTTTTTTTTAAGCAAATATTTAAAACCTTCATATATTTTACATATTATTTGCCAGGAACACATAAAACATTTCCAAGAAAACTTCTCACAACAATTCAATCATCTCTCTCATCAATGGATAAGCTGTCAACTTCTTCAAATTTGTTGTCAAAGATTCAACAACCAGCCTCAACAGTTTCAACACTATCTTGAAGAAACAGGCAAACTGTTACAGTCGATGAAGACTGAGGTAACAATTAACATTTTCAGCTACTTTCTCAGTGCATTTACAGTGTATAGTATGTATGTTCCAATATTGTTCAAGTATTTTTATTATTATCCATAAATTTTTCATAAGTTTGATAAGTGTGATTGTTTCAAAATGTTAGAATTTCCCCTTTCAGAGATGATAAATCATTTTATAGATTTATCCAACTATAAGATTATCATATTAAATTGCAGAATTTTCCTGTAGTAAAAGGGAAAAAGATCTTAGTTCATTTTCTGGAGCTTCCACCTCGTGAAGTAGGAACTTTTTTCTTTCAGGTTTGTATAAGGCTTGAGATGGAAAAAAATTACAAAAAGATAAATGTATCTTCCAAAACATTTAACAGCAAAGCCCTCTAGAGTGTAGAAAAATTATATCTCTTATGTAGATTGCACAGTAATATAACAACCTCTAGGTTTGAGTCTGTATGCTACCACAGTGAAACATTAATACCAGTATTGTACAATAAATGTCAGCACATAGTTTATCACAGCAATAGTGTTTTACTGAACCTTATCTTTTTGCTAGTTTGGAGTATCAGAACCTGGCACGCTATCTCTGAAATTTGTTTTTGCTGATAAAAGAGACAAACTTTGCATCAAGAGCTCCTCAATTCCCAAAGAAGAGTGGAAGGAAGCTTTCAAGTCCATTTACTATGCCAAACTGAGAAAAGATGCCAATTACCCTCATCCCCAAGACCTTTTTCTTAAATGCCTGGCAATAGACATGGAAACTATGCTACCAACTGAAATATCAGTGAATGAGCTGGAAAAGTACCAGGTGAATTACTTTTAAAGTTTATCATACTAGTAACTGTGAGTAGTAAGAATAACTGTTCTTTATTTTTAGTCACTCATTATCATCTATAATAGTTTGATATATTTTGTTGCATTATAGGGTCATCCAAAAAATGTTTCCATTTTTGATAAAGTAGCATTTGTACTGAAAGGGAAACAGCAATTTGTTTCATTGACTTGTGTTGTACTCTGCAAGAATCAAAATGAAAATCTTGACAATGTCAAGGGCAAGTACAATCGTTTCAGATTCGGGATTTATCAGAGCTATATTACCAATTTATAAGAATTTCATCAAAACTGAAATGTTTATTTCAGGAGAAATCTTGTGATGATGGAACCAAAAAGAAGAAATTAAGTGTAACATTGTCTATAGATATAGGTAAGTTACAGGTATTTTTACATTAAACATGATAATAATACGCTGTTAGTTTGTCTTAACATTGATAAAAATGCAATCTAAGACATTTAATTTACATTTTTTTTCTTTTGCAATTTCAGAGGAACAAGAAGGGGGAGGAGAGGAGGTAACATTACTGTATTTTGTTTTTTTTTTTTTTTTCATTAAATTCACCAACTTGTTCTTTGATAATATATTTTCTTGGAAGTATTAGTCTTCTTATATTAAAATACAATTCTTCAGAAATTTTAGTCACTTTAGTCCTTAAATTCTCCCAAAATATGTCTGTAAAAATGAAATATTTTTCTAGGCAAATTCTGCTACATTAGTCGGAGATGCTGTCTTAAGCCAGAAAAATGATCGTGATCGTAAGCAGCGCAAGCTTGGTCTCTCTGTAGAGGAGTCAGAAGGCTTGGAAAAAGTTGGAACATCAGACACAGGATCTCCAAGAACAGATGACCTAACTGAATTGCGTAAAGGAGCTGAGATACATGGGGTTGAAAACACAGAGAAACCTTCACCTGAAAGTGATAATGAAATTGGGAAGAGTGTAACTCCTCAACTGGCCTCCCTGCAGCTTGGATCTCAGTTACCTTCAGGTGAGTTACCTGGTGGGGAAGCTACCCCTGGTCCATCATCTGGAGAGCTGGCAATGCCCACAGTCACTAACCCAGCATATCCACCACCTAAACGTGCTGTGCGACAGTTGAGTGAACAGGAAAGCAGTCAAGGTCCAGAAGCTGTAAACCATCCTCACCAAAACCCAGGTTATCCTCCCACAAAGCAAGCCATCAAAGAGATCTGTGGGGACAACAGAGGAGAGGATGCTGGTATAGGAATGGAAAACACAGAGCAACCCTTATCAAAAAGTGATATTCAGAATCTGCAGAAAAATATCAGGAGTGCAGAGGGAGAATCTTCTCAGTTGGATGCCCAGCAGTCAGCATCCAACTTACCTTCAGGCAAGCTGGCAGGTGTAGATACTACTGATGATCCGTCTACTGAAGGGCTGGCAGTGCCCACATCTACTAACCCAGCATATCCACCACCTAAACATGCTGTGCGACAGTTGAGTGAACAGGAAAGCAGTCAGGGCCCAGAAGCTGTAAGCCATCCTCGCCAAAACCCAGGCTATCCTCCCACAAAGCAAGCCATCAAAGAGATCCATGGGGACAACTGTAATCTAGCAAGTTCTGCAGCCAGCCCTGATAACACCGCCATCCAAATGCAGGAGAACACAGGAAATAATATGGAAGAAGTAAAGAACCCTGTTACCCAAGTAGCTGTTGAACAACCAATTACATCAAAACCTGATGCAGACCAAACAATTAGGAAAGAAGTGGACTAACTGACCCAAAAGTAAAGTTGCTCTTTCCCTTTTCTTCAGAATCTATAAAAAACGCACATGTAGACACATTTGTTTTTTAAACTGTATTTCACTTTTGTGACCACTATGTATAGTAAAGATGAATTCAGAATCTCCAGTTTGAGACGTACTCTATGAGGAGGTTGATTTCAGCAAATGAACACCTGATTCCTATAAAATTTAGAACTTTAAAACCTTAATTTAAATAATATTTTGGTTAACTCTTATCTTTTAGTTTAAATTACTTTTTTTATTGGTTTTTAGTAGTTAGTGTTCTATTATTATATACATGTTTTAGCAGGGTTTTAAGAAATGAATTATTACTATTATTTCATTATAATATTTTATATGTCGTATTAAAATAGTTGTATGAAAATTCACAGTTATTATATACATGTTTTAGGTGGGTTTTTAGAAATGAATTATTATAATTATTATATAATAATCTTTAATATGTTGTATGAAAATAGTTGTATGAAAATTCTCAGGGGGGGATTCAGAGATATTTTTTTAGTCTTCCAAACTTTCTACCTCCAATTTTGACCATCTTCTGAAAGAATAACATTAGATACCCATCGATGTGAACTTGAAAACCTGTCTTATGGAAGACCCAAAAGATGGCCTCAATCCACCCCCCAATTCATGTTGTTGAAAATCACTATTGTGCTTTGAATGTGTAGAACAGTAGTACATATTGTAAGTTTTGTTTTAAATAAGTACAAAAAATGAAATTTATTTGAAATAAACAGTTTGTAAGACTGTAACACTTGTTTATCCAAAAAGATCTTTTGTACACAATTAATTAAAATTTTGGCCGATAAGAACATTTTGACATGTTCTGAGGTTATGCATAGATTACATACACCAGCCTTAACCTTTTCAACTTTAAAAAAGTTTAATCTTTTCAGAGTAATTATAAATCAGAACCAGTTACTGATATAATTGAAATATAATGAAATGATACAAACGTTATTTTATTATAAAATTGTAATAGTCATGTAACATTTCTACATCCTTCATCCAGAACTGAAATACTGATCAAGACCAGAGGCGATCTAAAATTCTTGTGCTACATCAATGTTATAGCAAACACGTTGATCACGTAACCATGAAATGTGTTCTAATAAAAAAAAAAAAAAGACTGAATCATGTCAGTAATATATCATACTGATATCAAATAATATCTGAATTGATTTCTTTCCTACAGACCAATGACAGTAAATTTAATCCCTCTGACCTTCACAATATATGCTATCATAGAAAGTTCTATGATGTTATTTTTTAGGATGTACCAGTTTTATGTTCATTAAAACTTGGCCCTCTGTATTTTCCTAAGCTTAGTTTTTGGTCCCTTGAAAATAGTCATTTTATTTAGGCTACATCTTCACGTTCTTACACTAAGCCAAAATGGATGACTTTCACTGTGCTGGCAGTGGCATCACCATCCTAGAAGATAAATTATAAGTTCAATTATAATTTGTGCATTTCAAAAGTCTTGTTGGATTATGACATAAAGCTTTTTTCTTCTTTTATCATAGAAAAAAATGGAAAAATAACTGCATGTTTAAAAAAAAATCATGCTATTCATGTTTCAAATTATTATCCAGCTTTATCATTAATTCTCATGACTAAATAGTAAAGAATGATACAAAAGATTCTGTTTGGAGGTGTGCAATCTATGCTTAATAAAATTTTTTAAAGATCCTCACCACATTTTCTTCTTCTTCTGAGATGTGATCTTGTGGATCCATGAAAGCCGAGGCATACTCTCTGTACATCTCAGAATTCAAAACTGGATCATTTTCATAGCTATATGCTGGAATACTGTTGGCAGTTTCACTGAAGAAAGGAATATCTTAAATGTATTCCGTACCCGATTTTCATGCTAAATCTTACCCATGGAAAATGCAAAAATACATGTGGGAAACTGAAAATTTTTTGAAAAATATTAGGCATCCAAGATTCAGTTGAAATTGTATTTATACTTCTATTCTTCTTGGGAAATTGTCTTAAAAATACCAGCAAAATTTTTAAAAAACTATCTGAGATATTTCGTCCACAAACATGCAAACTGATGCCAATGAAAGCAGAACCTCATTTATTAATTTTCAGAGGATATGAATGCTGGATACAATACATCAGAAATACATCTTTATTAACTGAAGCTGCTGACCACACAGAAGACATACTACTACCTGTAATATGCCCTGTGATCTTGGACAGTGTGATGTCCTTGCTGGACACTTCTTTGTTGTCTCTATGAAGAAAATTTATTTTAAACATACATCCTTCTTGGCAATATGCCAACCATCTATGCCTTTACATCTTACCTATAAATAATTTACACATTACTTATATTATTTAATACAACACTATGAACCAAATACAACAAACCTGTGACTCAACTCCAAACAAACTTTTTTATCTTTATTCTTCATCAGCATGACTTTTTTTAATGTCAAGCACAGTTATTATACCTGTTCTCTTTCCATTAAGCTGGTAATATACCCAGCTCTCTCTTGGTGTTGGAAGTCATTTTCTGGCCCTGATAAGTCCTCCTCCTCCACAGACTCCGCTGTGTCTGAAACAATTTCAGTTACGATAATAACAATCAAGGTCTCATTATTTTTGTTTATGTCAAATCCATAATAGTTAATGACACAGCAGATACTACAGCTGGGGTTCAGTACAAACAATATATCACTAACTTTAAAATAGCAAATTTATCTACAAAAGCAAATGTTCCAGATCAATGGAGATGATCATGTACAAAATGCCTAGTTTGTGCAGAAGAAAACATACATTTGCAACCAACACCCAATCATATGTTGACCTGGCTGTTCTGCAACTCTACATTTTAACAAGGGCACAAATTTAACAATTAATACACACTTCTGATTTTATGCACAAAAGGACAATTCACACCTGATGTATCTTAGACAGAGAAACAGCCCATGGCTTTTTTCACGTCATCGTATGAAAGCCTTAGACAGGTCTTAACATGTAATAATGCTGAAAGGGTTTTTACTCTCTTTCACAAGTTTGATTCCAGCTGTTTGGGTGAGAATTCTACCTGGTAGACCCCCATCTACATGTCAATATTTATCAGTTTACTTGCAGTGTCCGAACATCTTACGTAATTACTAGGCCATTAAGTTGAGCCTTTCTAGGTATTTCGATTTAGATATGTGTAACACACTTTGTTAAAAATGCACAAGTGACTTACAAGACTGACCAGTAATATTTCATTCCTCATCATGGTGAAGAACATCACCTTTTAAAAGCAATAAAGCCTGGAGTAAGCTTGCATATTGACCCACCTGTTCCTGTTCCAGTCCCTATAGACTCCACTTCAATTTGGTCTGCTTTCTTTTTTGCTACCTCTGCTAGGGCTATCTCTCCCTTGTCTGACGCCAAATAATGTATGTCCTGAGATCAAGAAATATAAATAAGTATCGATCGATATGTGTATTAAGTCAAATTAATTAAAAACTGCAGGTGAAGATGGCAGGCCATAACAGTTTAAAATTAGGTATATGTTGGCAGCGGACTTATAAATACAACACAAAACTTTAATCATATATACTGCTTTGGACTTTGCTTCTGTGGTTATCAGTTTTGTTTTATTCTTTATTCAGGCATAACAGAAGTGGTGATGGGGATAACTTAACACCAAAGATTTTACAATTTAAACTTACCATGAACAGATCCCTGGCACCAATATCAACAGCCAGCAAGAATGCTTTCTCAAACCTGGTGTACCTGTAAAAATTAAACCAATAAAACATATAGAAATGATCTAAATGTACGTGAACTGATCACCATAGACCACTACACCAAGCCCACTGTCTGTGGTTTTAAACATATCGCTTTGTCTGTAAATCAAAATTTTATCAATAAAAACTTCATGCTAGACACTTGCACATACATACATATTGAGGTTTGGGACAAATATCAGAAACTTATCTAGTGTGAGATTTGATTTTCATTCCTTATTGACTGAAACAACACACAACAACTGGATGTGTCAAAATGTACACGATCACAACAAAACTGATTCTGTTTTCAGTCCTTACAGAATACCTTAGTAAATGATGAAAGAATCTCCTTGCATATCTACTGATTGGGTCCCTGTATTCCAGCACTGCAGCTTCTGTCAGAGGCCTGGCGGGGGCATAGAAACTACCTAGGGCAGTTTCTAACTGAGCTGAAAGACGGAAACAAATGAAATGTCATTACTAATGTAATAGTTAATAATTTATTGCATAAATATGTAATTAACAACCTTCATTTAAGAAATGGAAAAAGCAGACAGATAATGATGGAGTAATGATGTGACAGAGATCATAGAAAAGGGGTGTTAAGAATGGGGAAGAGGATGAAGTCCTACTGATGAAAGCTCACTGATACTATTTACAAAATTCTGACCTTCTCTCTGTTGATTCAGAGGCATTCTGAGAAGATGATCGAACAAAGCTTGAAGGCAAGTTAGACATGTCTGCCCTTCGCTGTTCCAGTCCAGACTACCCAGCAGATTCACAGCCTGGAACAAAGTCATTATGAGCCATTAACTGAACATTAAAAGTTTACAATACACCTATGACTTATATATACCACATTTAATTTTCCTGGCAATTTCAAATTTTTTCTGTTAAACACTTATGTATACTATAACCAAAACCATTTACAGAATTACAATCTAAAATCCTGTTTTTTTTTTTAATGTGTCTTTTTAGTTTTTGAGTCATTACAATTACAACAGATATACATGTACAAACTAGTGAATTTAATTTGTGATGGTTATAAATAGAAATGTACAAATTGATCATATGTTTATATATCTGATTTTTTCTCAACAGTTTTGTCTAGTGTATACCTTAAAAAATGAAAAATTGCTGAAATTTCCAGGAAAAAATTATTTTTGCAATATAGCAGTCTGATGCACAGTGTCCATTTTTAAAAAATCCAAGCAAAATTCACTTATCTTTTGGACAACACTACACATCTATGTAACATTGGCAAAAAGTTGGCTTAAGTTATCAAGTTTGACAAGTTTATTTTTGATAATGATCATTATGCAATGTATAATTGAGTATACATTTTATATTCAAATAATGCCATTTGGCAATTAAAAAAATACTGTTCAAAATACCTCACAACCACAGTATCAATTGTGAAACATATTCTCCTAGGCTACATATACAATAACAAAGACAGTACATCCATTGTTTCGTTTTTACATCATAGGGCACAAACCAAAACAATTCTAATGATCAAGTGGTAACTTTACCTCATCAATTTGCCTGTGTTTAATATACTGATTCAGCAGCTGTGTTGATGTGAGGGATGCAGGGCAGCTCATGCCTAAATGTAATTGAAACACAGCTAGTGGGCCTCTGGAGCAAAAAGATAAAAACATTTTTAAATTAACATTTTGTTTCACATAATATAATACAGGATTTAATTTGACATGTGCCTGTGTAATCATGTAAAAGTTTTGAAAAAAGTGTTTCATCTGATAAACTCAACAAAAAAAAAAAAAAAAATTCTTGCTATTCATCTATACTTTCTACAGACTTTTGTTAAAAAAAAACAGGATCATGGTCATAACAAACCTATCAAACACCATGAACAAGCTACTTGTAGTTGACTCTGTGGTAATCTCAGATGAGTTAGGGCACCAGTCCATCCTCTTCAACACAGGGGGAGATCTACAAGGAATTCAAGTTAAAAGAGGATCACAGATTTTTTTTCCTTTTTTAATGGGAGATTATATACATTTATATATGCTATCCCAAAAATCTTATTATGTACTATCAGAGGCTGACAAAAATTGCCATCAACTCATGATGGCATCAGTTGAAAAAACTTGAAAAACTGTTTTGAAACACACACTTACAGCAACCAACTAATCTAATGTAAACTTGGCCTGAATATTATAGTTTAAAACTCATAACTTAATTTGTTTCTGAAGCTTATTTAGATCCATGTGATAAAAATGTGCCATCCCCATAATTTAAAAATATTTGTACTTCTAATCACCATGCTTCATTTATTGCTTTTTATACTTATTTTATTTATTATTTTTCCATCATACCACACAAATGAAAACAAAATCTGACAGTGCATAACCACTGAAAGCACTAAGTGAAACATGCATTTACGTATGCTACAAGCTGTGACCTCCTGTTTACCCGTTTTCAAAAAAAAAACAAGACCAAAACTTAACTCGTCTTCACTGCAATCACTATCAATCTATGATTGAGTGTACATCCACACAACAAAACAAGCCAGCTTAAGCTGAAAGACGTACAGACATTTTATAAATAATAAAAATAAAACTTTAAATGACTGCGCCTGTAATTAAGTCCTGTATATAACCAAAAAGTTTGACGATAGGAAAATATCCATCTTTTAAAGCTTAAAAGCTTTGGTATACACAAACACTGAAATACACAAACACAAGACTGAAAGTATACGAAAGAATTATGAAACAAATGCTTTGGTGACATGGACAGACAGGGGCTGACAATATGTGCAGATACTACTCAGGGTCTGTACATAAAAAACACACTCACATTTTGACTTCACAAAGCAAATGACCCTACAGCATATTCAAAACAATATCCCAGAAGTCTTCATCAGAAGATGACAACAAATATGCTTAGCAATAAAAGTAAAGTTTTATACCTTTGTCAAAGAAAGAAACTGAACATAAGGTTATAAACAATAAATCAAAATTAATTACCATTACACAACCACAAGTATACTCCACAGCTCCCAGACCAAAATAAAAAAAAACAAAAAAACATAACACCCATAATGAAAAATTTGACTCCTTATATGCATTCACTATGATAAGATTGTGCCTATTTCCAACAAAACGCACCCCATGTGACACACAACATTCATTTACCTGTTACCAGGCCGTTTCCTGGGGCTGAAAGTTTTGGTGAAAGTGTAACTAATATGGAACAAATACTTGCTTCATTCATTTCAAGATGCTGCTTGCAGAGAATGTAAACCATGAAGAGCAACACTGATAAAAAAGGTGACAATTTTTATTGCTACATCTACCTCAAGAAAAGACCAGAACAATAGTGAGCATCGATTATGATACATTAGATTAACAATCACATCTCACAGAAGAGGTGTGTCTGAAACAGTATCACAAAAAACCATTTTAGTTCCAAACAACAAACTACATGGTTTCCCCTTTAAAGGATTGTAACATTCAGAAACCCAAACTGAAATTGTTCAACAGAAACATTCAGGTATTCGTCCACATACTTACGCAATTTGTGTGAGTTTTTTTCTCTCTGCTCTTCACCTTATAAAGGGGACTTGTTTTGAAACCTGGAGGCTATCAAGAGAGCCAGAATGAAGGAGTGGAGGGGTAAAATCCTTCCAGCAGTGCAGTGAAGCATGGCAGAGAAGGGTGCAAAAGGACATTAGACTCAAAGGAATTTATTGAAGGGGAATCTATCTAGCCATAGTATGTTGTTTGGAATTATAATGAATTGTTTGTGAAACAAGTCCAATTGTCTTCAGACCAACTTGTATTGTACATACTCAATACCTGAAATATGATCCAATCTCCAAAACTTTTACTGGGTTGATCTCCTCTGAAACTAGCTGTACCAGCAATGGATTCAAGGCCTGATCAAACACCTACAATTGTATGTATGGTTAGGCATTGCATGCTGCACTATATTTCCAAATACATACATATGCACTAACGATGTTTTAAGATGCATAATTTCTTATGCCCAAAGTACAAAAAGACCTTAAAATAAATAAAAAAAATAAGCTTTACAAAATTTAAACATTACCAGTTTTCTAAGCATCTCCAATTTAGGTTTAACTAGTTAGTAATCTTTTTTCACTAATTTTTTTTACATTTTTCATTCAATAAAAAAATGAAGATGCCAGAGGAATAAACTAGAGAGTACTTAAGAGTGCAGACAACCATCAACTTAGGCAAAATATACATCACTGTAAAATAAAAATTCTTCTGAGAATATGCAGGGACCTGGATTCAGTTGAAAGTGTAATCACCTCCCTCCCCCTGAATAAATGTTTACCCTTTAAATTTAATCAAAATTTCTGAAAAACTTTTTGAGATGATAACTGGTCCACTAACAAATGGACAAATTGAACCCAATGAAAACAACCCACCTCATTGGCAGGGGTCAATATGTCATATGGATTTAGAGGCTAAATGATAGGTAAATAAATACCTGAATTTCTCCCCTTGAGCTGGCTGCAAATACAAGGGTTCCACTGGGATGCCAGGCTAAAATTGATGGTTTCTGAAAGAGAAATGTATATCATCAGATACCTGTGAACAAGCAACAACTGCAAAACACGAAAGCACTTTTTTCATTGAAATACAAAAAAAAGCATTGCAATAAAATCACTCCTTATATTTTCACATTTTACTCACCACACTCGCTTTTGCAAATTGTGTGATTCTTCTTTTTTCATCAAATAAAACCTATGTCAGAGAAATGCAATAATTAGTTTTGTAATATCATTTATAATGTAATCTTACAGGAAATTTTCAGGATTTTTCAAGGTTAAGTTTATCAATTTTCATATGCAGGTCCAGTTACATTTACAAGCTCTCAATGCCACATTGTACTTTGTTTTCTAAATATTTCTAAACTACATATTTGTATAATAATTTTACAATTAACTCACAAAACCTGACTCCCAGTTCAGCACATTTCTATTACTTACTATGCTTCCATCACCACATCCCAATAGTAACTTGTCTTCTGCATGGTTTTGGCCATAAGATATAACACCATCTGCAGGAAGAAATCACATTTTTTTTTCACTTTAATAAATCACAATATAACAGATATGCTTTTTTTAAAAAACAACAATTTTACATTGAACAATTTGTGTCACTATTCCCAATTTTGGTTTAACAAAGTCTTTAAAAACAAAGTGTGATAATCTAAAAATAAAGAACAAATATTCAAAAACAGTCTGTTAATTTATTCTTACTTTTCAATGGAATGGTTGTCACAGGTGCTGTTTTGTGAATCTGAAATGAATAAGCATATGGTTTATTTCATGTCTTCATGTAGCATACACTTTTAAGGAAGTTAATTACTTTACAGTTATTATTAGTCTTATATGGCTGAGGGTTAAAAAAGTTAGGTGCAGAAAATATTAGTGAAAAACAGCTTCTGACTGAGTTTTTAATTAATTTCTGCAAACAACAAAATGTATATAAACTTCATATTTCATCATCTTTTATTCTGCTGTTTCAGCAACAACTAATGCATCTGCAATGACTGAAACATGGCGTGCTTATGTTGAAAAGAACCTAGCAATAACAAAACTCTTTATATTGGCAAATCAAACATAACTACCTTGTTCTTGGTAATTTCATAAGTACAGTGTTCTATCGACATATCTCCTCCTGATGAGGGGGCTTGCTCTATGGTAAATATCTTAAATGGATGGTGACCACTAGGAACAAAAACCAAAATGGTTCTTTTGAAGTTAATTCTGAACACATTTCTTTCTTGAACAACTTCCTGATAAAACTATCCAACTTGTTCTTTCTTTCACACCTTAGATGGGAGAATCATTCAAAACAATACCCAAATGCTGGCTGTCTTTTAAGAGAAAAAAGTTGGTAAATATGAAACTGGAGTCTTAAATTTTCAGGTCTCATTCAAATATTACATCTCAATCTCAGCAGTTTAAATAATTATGCTCAGAGTAATGCCTAATGAATGTTGTGTTTAGATATTGCAAAATATACAGAAACACTGTGACATCATTTTAAAACTGAGAAGAAAATAACCCCACCATTACTGACCTAAATGTAATATTCAGTGGATCACATTCTGTTCTTGTGTAACACAGGATATCCAATCGAGGGCTGAAAAATAATTAAAGTAGCACAACTCATCAACTTACAAACTAACTCTTTTGAATTTTTAAAACCTACCTTCTACCCAAATCTTAAATTTGAAACAAAGATAAAATCCAACTTTAATTTGATAAACATATTTCATGTTTATAAACAGGCACAGTTACTAAAAATGACAGCTACTGTAGTTCAAAATTCTGAAACCTCTTACTTATTTATAGTAAATATCATCAAGTTGTCATTGTTTTTTAAAACTGTTTTCTGCTTCCCAAAAATTGAACCCTACCCATTAATAGCAAGGACCACCAAGTTGGCCCTGTCTCTGTCACTGGTCATAGGGGACCAGGGCCAGGCCTCCTCACTAGCTGTCGGCCACCACAACACCACCTGTTGTTAGGCGTAATGACAATGTGAAAATGTTTTTCTTTTCATTTTTTATTGTCATCACAAAGCAAAAAATGTCTCCTCTTAACATGTACATGATATCACTATATTACCAATCAGATATAAAAGTATTCCATGAGTGTTTTTTTTTAACTATTTAAGCCCTAAGTTTGTAACCTATGATAAACATATTAATTAAGTAAAATAACAAGACTGCAACAAAAAACTTTAAAAGCATGTAGTCAGGATACTTCTGAAAGACATTTTACCAGATCTTGATTTGTATTGCATGAGATTCTTCTTTCCAGGCGTCTTCCCACTGGGCCTGGCAAGTCAACCTGGCTAATCTACAGAGGGGGGAAACAGGAAAAAAATGAATCTAACATTTGCAGAAAGAATCTGAAAGAAAACTTATACAATTTCAAAAAAAAAAATCAAATGGCATATTTCATGAATAACAATATCACATAGCTTCTTTCATGAAGTTTTTCCCCAGCAATTACAGATGATTCTGTTCGCCAAAACTTACCTTTGGTTCAGAAGCAGACAACTTCTCAAATTTTTTGAGAGGGTCGCCTGATGGTATTTTCTTGCTAAAATACACATAGTCAAGCTTTGATTTTTCCATGTATGATGCTATCATACAATTGTCAGTTAACAGAGCTGAAAAAGAAACCATTGTTTGCTTAACAAAAAATGCTTAACAAAATCAAAGCCCTGTTATATTTCTTAACATGCATTCTTGGTAAATTGTTTTCAAGCAGACCAAACTTTTCAACTTAGAAGAACTGTGATAGATCAATATGCCATATAAGTTATAACAAGTGGAAAATCAAAAGGAGCACTTGAGAAAAAAAAATGAACCAAAAGCTGGAAAACTAACCGTCAGTCACTGTCTCTGAGCTTAGTTTCCCCACCAAGGATTTGTCGATGAAGATTTTCTCCACATCCCCAGAACTAGTACTAAGCACCAACAAAACAACAGCCCCATTGCTAAGGATCACCTTAAAACAGAAAAGACACACAGTGAAAAATATATAAAAGTTACCCAAAGAATGATGGAAATATCACAGTGCCTGGAAAACACTGTTATCATGTCAATACACAGCATAATCCACATCAACATAGACAACGTCACATAATATTGATACTTTCCAGCTAAGATCTAATAAATGGTATATTAGATCTTAGTTTCCAGTACCCATTCCTGTCACTTTTTGCCTTCACCAATATTTTAACATATACAGTGATTTTCTTGACACATTTGAACAAAGTTTACCTTGGTGATTGGAGAAAATTCCAGGATTTTTTTTTTTATTAATTAAAGATGTAACATTCATTGCATGCTGTAAACTTACACTCAATAGTCTCTGACTTCTCCACTTACAGCATATGCATCTATTAACGGCTAATAGCTCCTGAAAAAATAACAGCAAAACATAAAGATAAATTCATCGAGTTTCTCATTAATGTCTTCATTTTAAATATAAGAAAAAAAGATCATCAAAGCTATCTTATTTTCTGTTATTTAGATTCAATGGTCTGATTAGGAAAGTATCAAATGCTTAGATATTTGGCTTAAACAATATCTAGTATATCATGTATCAAAAATCCTTAAGGACATAAAAAAGTATACAAAGAGAAAACACTATCATAAGTAATTAAACTCTACATAGCTTTACCTCTAGTTCCTTTAAACTATCTCTTAACCTGTCAGGTCTTCTGTTCTTTGGGGTCCATGTAATATCTCTGTCTAATTAGATAAATATAACAAAATATAGATCATAGATTTATGCCACATACTTCAAATAACTTAATTTCATAACAGTTTTGTTCAAAAATTCAATGAAACTGTTTTAAAACATATATAACAAATATTCAAATATTGAGCATTATTTACCACAGGAACAATCATATTTTGAAATGCTTACCTTCAGTATACTGGCGCTTTTCATCATAATACGGTTGTTCAATATTGGATACTGCAACAATNTTGTCATCACAAAGCAAAAAATGTCTCCTCTTAACATGTACATGATATCACTATATTACCAATCAGATATAAAAGTATTCCATGAGTGTTTTTTTTTAACTATTTAAGCCCTAAGTTTGTAACCTATGATAAACATATTAATTAAGTAAAATAACAAGACTGCAACAAAAAACTTTAAAAGCATGTAGTCAGGATACTTCTGAAAGACATTTTACCAGATCTTGATTTGTATTGCATGAGATTCTTCTTTCCAGGCGTCTTCCCACTGGGCCTGGCAAGTCAACCTGGCTAATCTACAGAGGGGGGAAACAGGAAAAAAATGAATCTAACATTTGCAGAAAGAATCTGAAAGAAAACTTATACAATTTCAAAAAAAAAAATCAAATGGCATATTTCATGAATAACAATATCACATAGCTTCTTTCATGAAGTTTTTCCCCAGCAATTACAGATGATTCTGTTCGCCAAAACTTACCTTTGGTTCAGAAGCAGACAACTTCTCAAATTTTTTGAGAGGGTCGCCTGATGGTATTTTCTTGCTAAAATACACATAGTCAAGCTTTGATTTTTCCATGTATGATGCTATCATACAATTGTCAGTTAACAGAGCTGAAAAAGAAACCATTGTTTGCTTAACAAAAAATGCTTAACAAAATCAAAGCCCTGTTATATTTCTTAACATGCATTCTTGGTAAATTGTTTTCAAGCAGACCAAACTTTTCAACTTAGAAGAACTGTGATAGATCAATATGCCATATAAGTTATAACAAGTGGAAAATCAAAAGGAGCACTTGAGAAAAAAAAATGAACCAAAAGCTGGAAAACTAACCGTCAGTCACTGTCTCTGAGCTTAGTTTCCCCACCAAGGATTTGTCGATGAAGATTTTCTCCACATCCCCAGAACTAGTACTAAGCACCAACAAAACAACAGCCCCATTGCTAAGGATCACCTTAAAACAGAAAAGACACACAGTGAAAAATATATAAAAGTTACCCAAAGAATGATGGAAATATCACAGTGCCTGGAAAACACTGTTATCATGTCAATACACAGCATAATCCACATCAACATAGACAACGTCACATAATATTGATACTTTCCAGCTAAGATCTAATAAATGGTATATTAGATCTTAGTTTCCAGTACCCATTCCTGTCACTTTTTGCCTTCACCAATATTTTAACATATACAGTGATTTTCTTGACACATTTGAACAAAGTTTACCTTGGTGATTGGAGAAAATTCCAGGATTTTTTTTTTTATTAATTAAAGATGTAACATTCATTGCATGCTGTAAACTTACACTCAATAGTCTCTGACTTCTCCACTTACAGCATATGCATCTATTAACGGCTAATAGCTCCTGAAAAAATAACAGCAAAACATAAAGATAAATTCATCGAGTTTCTCATTAATGTCTTCATTTTAAATATAAGAAAAAAAGATCATCAAAGCTATCTTATTTTCTGTTATTTAGATTCAATGGTCTGATTAGGAAAGTATCAAATGCTTAGATATTTGGCTTAAACAATATCTAGTATATCATGTATCAAAAATCCTTAAGGACATAAAAAAGTATACAAAGAGAAAACACTATCATAAGTAATTAAACTCTACATAGCTTTACCTCTAGTTCCTTTAAACTATCTCTTAACCTGTCAGGTCTTCTGTTCTTTGGGGTCCATGTAATATCTCTGTCTAATTAGATAAATATAACAAAATATAGATCATAGATTTATGCCACATACTTCAAATAACTTAATTTCATAACAGTTTTGTTCAAAAATTCAATGAAACTGTTTTAAAACATATATAACAAATATTCAAATATTGAGCATTATTTACCACAGGAACAATCATATTTTGAAATGCTTACCTTCAGTATACTGGCGCTTTTCATCATAATACGGTTGTTCAATATTGGATACTGCAACAATAAATTTAAATGATGTGAAAAATTATTAATTATCTCACAACTAATCAAAATTCATGATTTTAATACATGAAATTTAATTTTGCTTTTGAAGTTTCACTATCTGAATATGTCTGACTTTTAACAGATTAAATATGACAATTATCTTATTATAATACATTTAAAAATTCTGATCATGAATTTTCTTGACAAAAATGTTATGACACTTAACTGTGGACAAATGTCTACCAATGAAAGATGATTATTTTTGACATAAGCCACTTACCTGTTTCTGCTTTATCGTGATATGTATGGCAACCTATGTCATCATCTGAAAAGGAAATAACCCAATATCTAAAATGTACTTTGTAACATTGAAGTAGTCTACAATTCACTAAATTCAAGTCAGACAATGGACCAAATAAATAGGTTATTAATATAAATATGCATGTATTTATACATGTAATTATACATGGGTTGAATGAATAGTGTTCTGCTCTCCCAGAAAGTGTAGATCAAGTTTTAATGTCTTGTATTCTAGCTGACTGCACTCTTTAATCATTACATGCATATGGTTGCAGACACAACAGGTCAGTGAGGTGTGTTTGTGTGAGCACGCATCAATAATGACAAAATTGACATAGCTGAAAAGGGGAGTCTCCAAAACCCATGGATACGAATTGTAAAAACTGAAAATCCTGAAAACATAATTTGGTATTTCTCATCACATTCAGGCCATTTGAAAAAAAAAACGATCAAGATGAAAATCCTAAAATCAGGCATAATCCTGAAAACTCTCACCCATGCCAAAACCAAACTTTGTTCATAAATTTTGTCAATAGGTGCAGGAAATTAATTAAAAATACTTTACTTGTATTGAGTGCAGTTTTACATACGAGCGTGAACTTACTTTATACTAATGACGAAGAGCTCAGTCAGTTATTTAGACTCAGAGACTACGTAATACATGTACATTGTGTACCAACCATCAAAGTATATGCAACTTTTACCAAAATAGCAAGCATTCACGGCAAATAGAGTTACAATCACCTGGTATTATGGTTTGATTCTTTAAAGTCCATATAAACAGTTCTCCTAGACAAGACACCATTATAGCAACAAACTGTACCCACTGGCTTCAAATACTACTTTGGTATTATCACTTCACAAGCTTCAAATCGGCAGCCCAATGCCCAATGAACCCAAGTTGTTTACAGCCTATACGAAGCTAGCTCCACCCTTATTTTCGAAAACGAACATAGCATCCGAATATCATATTTATTAATTAAAACTCAAATGATACTGATATTTTAATTTAAAAATCATTTTAGAAGTAGCGTATGAGTAGAAACATTAACAACAACAAGCGTCGATTAGAATTAACATCATGCTACGTGCTTGTAAACTCGTTGTATTCTTGCGCGCAGGTTCTTTTTTTTAGGGGATTTAAATATATCATATAGAATCAACTATTACTTTTTATTTGCTCTGAAAAGACATGTTTATCATATAAAAGCCAAAAATTGTTTGTTTTGAGTTTCTGATGAGTTAATTTTTGACATGTCGTTAAGAACTTTTTTGTATCATGTACTCTCAAAGAGGTCACAGTGTGTCGCCTCCGTCGTCTCTTTGGCAAAAGTTGTTCGACCTTGAGCTGTTGCTTGTACCTTGCTCGTAGCTTCAACAACAAAATGGCAAGTGAAGAGGTAAGTTAATCAAAATATTATACGAATTTTCAGTTATTAATCATTAAAGGTAACTCTGCATATAACTGTCATCTTGCCAATTTGTAAACTCGCCGTTTATTTTTTTGGTTGAAAATTAGTGACCTTCAGAAACCGGCGAAATTGTCGTGTCCTTGGAGATAGGGGGAGTTTTGTGGAGTGTAGAATATTAGTGAATTAGAGGGCAAGAGTCATGGTCATGGGTCTGATAGGCTTCTAAATGATGCAGATGTATTTTCTTTACAAACCGACAATTCCTTGATTAGATATCTTATGAAAAAAATCCAGCGAACGCTTTGTAAATTGAGGTGACATTGAAACTCCCGACATTGAGCTTTTGAATGTGACCCACAGATTTTTCTCCGTGTACACATGCACGCTGTCGGCAAATGTTGGATTTTGCAGAAGTTTAAACACGTGGCATTGTTGAAGACATGCATATAATTTATGAAACCTGATTGTCATCATGTGCCGTGGCAAGAGTTTTTAATTTTTATTTATTTTGCAATATGCGACATCATGCACAGTAACAATTAACACTATGTATGGCTCATTGATGCAATTGGTATTGATAAGTCTAATGATTTGAATCACATCAGTACATAAAGTGAAAGTTATATAAGGTTTTGCAGCTTTGAATGCTTTTACCTCCAAATTTCACATTAGGATTTCCCTCTAGATGTGCAAAGGTGATATTAAATTTATCCCATTTTTTGTTATTTCATTTATCTAGATTTAGAAATTGTCAAAAATACTATCCCCACTTCCTTATTAGTTTAAACCCTATTGCTGTTAATTAAAATATTATAAAATCAGGGGCGGATCCAGAGATATTGTCTGACAGTCTTCCAAATTATTTTTGTTAATCCATCCTCCATTTTTGACCGTCTTCCGACAGAAAATATTAGATACCCGTCAATGTAAACTTTAAAATCGGACCGTCTTCCGGAAGACCCAGAAGACGGCCTAAATCCGCCCCTGATAAAATGCTGTAATATTTTGACACCTTTAAAGGAGTGATCAGGGTGAAATCGAAATTATTGATATGGATTGGCTCCCAAGGGTCATAAAAACCATTATGTGTGAGTAAATGCCAGTGAAGTATACTTAAAACATTAACTTAGTTGGAGATTGGTCAAGGGCATTTGTAGGATAACACGCTCTAGCAATGTGACCTTGTATGCCACATGGTCATATCATTCTATATGTGACCTTTGTATAAAGTGCTCATGAATGTATATTCTTATTGAGAATTCCTTAAAATACATAAATCCAATACTGAAAAAGATATCACAACACAATGCAGATTTTTGAGTCATTTACCAAATGTACTGAACTTTCTTCAACTTTTTTTATGTTGAATATTTTTATATTGTTGATGAGCATTATCATGTATTAGTGGAAGTTAAAGTTAAAATGGTTCAGTAAAAACAGTCGGTCATTGTCTGAATAAATGAAACACACTGATCAAGATGTTTGAATATATTGTCTTACAGAGCAAAAAAAAAAGTTTGGCTGGCTTGGGGAAGGAGTTAAAAGTGTGTGTGTGTGTGTGTGTGTGTGTGTGTGTGTGTGTAAAAAGGGGGAGGCACATGGCCTGCTATGCCCCCCCCCCCCCCAGCCCCATTGGCTCTATCAGAGTTATGAACCCCTGCACAGGGAATACATAATTGAGGTTTAACTTGAGGTCATTTAAAATATATATTATAATTAAAGGTTTCATTTCTTGCAGGTTATTACAGTACTTGTTACTGGTGCTGCAGGCCAGATTGCATATTCCCTTCTGCTCCCAATAGCTAAGGGAGATGTCTTTGGTAGAGACAAGGCAAGCATTATATAGTATTAGCTAATGAATGAATTTTAATGAATTCTTATTATAAATTGAGTTAATTCATATTAAAATACACAGATATTTTCCATTTTAATGTGGAGATAGATATATACTTTGTGGAGAATAATGTAAACAGCTGTTATACTGGTGAGTAATACACAGTTAATCAATATGTAAAATTAGTAAAAAAAAATCTAATGAAATATAGGACTGCAGGTCAAATAGCATATTTTGATTCATCTAGTAGTTATTTCAATCAGTATGATTAAGAATGGAATTTATATTTAATCTCGTATTATTGGACACATGCTCTAAGTGAGTGTCCAATATGAGATATAAATACATATTCTTTATTAATGGACTGTAAGACTTCATAATGTTTTAATTTCTATTTGTATAAGTTTTTCTGTTTTTGCATATTTTAGCCCGTTAAACTTGTGCTATTGGACATAACCCCAATGATGGCTGTGCTTAACGGGGTCGTGATGGAACTCACAGACTGCGCATTGCCTTTACTCAGAGGTAAGTAGTATGGGGAATTGTAACCAGTAAAGGATGCAGTTAAAGGTGTTTTGCAAAATTAAATAAATTACCTTCATTTGAACCTCTAGACTTGAATAATGGCCGAATTTAATCTATTGCAGAGGTTGTTGCAACTGATGATGAAAGCGTGGCATTCAAAGATGTGGATGTGGCATTGTTGGTTGGTGCTATGCCACGCCGTGAGGGAATGGAAAGAAAGGACCTTCTAGCTGCTAATGTCAAGATTTTCAAATCCCAGGGTCTTGCTCTTGATAAATTTGCCAAGAAAACTGTCAAGGTATGTTTTTTTAATGATGTGGGGTTTATTTTACCCATAGCATAGAATCTTCCTTTTCATAGTCATCAGTGTTATATTCATTTTGAAATTTGGTATAGAGATGAGTCAGGTATATAACTTTTATTTGGTTCACAAGAAATGTACAAGATGCTAAGTAAATGTGGACATGCACAGTTGATAGCTATATGTTAAGATAAGATGTATGTAGGAATGTTCAGAAGTCTTAAAATTTGGCTTGAATAAAGATATGTTTCAGTCATATAGAAATTTGCCCCATTTTCTTGAATTTGTTTCACATCTTTTCCAGGTTGTGGTAGTTGGTAATCCGGCCAATACCAACTGCTTTGTTTGTGCAAAGTTTGCTCCTTCCATTCCGCGTGAGAACTTCTCATGTCTTACCAGGTTGGACCAAAGTCGAGCTCAGGCACAGGTTATTACAATTAATGACAATTTTTTAACATTATACAAAATAAAGTTTTTCTACACGGACTTAAACTGACACCTTATCAGCTTATCATGCCACACCTTGTTGTTTAAAGTAGAGATTTTTTTTATAGGTTTTATTATTTATGTGATTTACAGATTGCAGCTCGAGTGGAGGGTGTTGCTGCTCAGGATGTGAGCAGGGTTGTTATATGGGGGAACCACTCTTCTACTCAGTACCCTGATGTCCGCCATGCTGTCATCTCGAAGGATGGGCAGCAAATTGGTGTTCAGGATGCCGTCAAGGATGACAGTTGGCTGAAGAATGAATTCATCAAGGTACAAAAATGTTCTTTTAGTTATGGCAATAAATGGTGGAGAAAGGCAATAATACCCATCTATAAATTTTGACAATTTTAAGGACATGTTACGCTTCGCCCAAAACTCCTTGTTTACTGCCTTACATACATTCTTTTGGGTAATAAATTAATCTTCAGTGTTCAGTGACTAAATTAATTTATGTTTACATGTTTCATCTTATGGGTGACATCATAATTGTGGTTGTGGGGTAAAAATTGAATAATCAGTTTCACAAATTTCTCTTTTACCTGAGCACCCATGATCACCATTTTTAATGACACCAGTTAGTACTACGAAGCCCTGCCAGCAATTTTCTCAAAAGTCTTAGTACAGATTTTATTGTTGATAAAGCAAAATAATGCCTTTGTTCAATCAAAATCTGTATTTAGAGGTTCATAACTCCAAGACAAAAGCGTTTAAACCAAAATGCTGGCATAGGATTGTAGCTCATACACTTGCGGTCCACTATGCCAATTTTTGTGACAAAATCTTGTTCAGGGATGGAGTTATGCCCCATACCAATTGCTATCTCACCTCAAAAGAAAAATGTTAAATCGAGGATTACAGCTTTGAGACGCCCATGTTTATACATTGCACAAAAAAATATAAATGCCGATATTTTATATTTTTAAGGGTTTTTTTTAGTTGTTTTAAATCAGCACAAAGTTAGATGCGTTATTGAATAATTAGATGCAGCAAAAACTCATTTTTGGTATTTCGATGATGATAAAGGGTTACAACATCCTTAAGCAATTGCTGAAGTGTTATTTACATTTTTTTAGCAATGTTTTTTATTTATCAGAAAAATGTATTATAAAACAATATTTAGAATCTATGCAGACCAATGTTTTGTATCTTTAATATATGTCCACCATGGATTGCATGGATGAAAAAAGTTGCTCTGAAAGTTTGACATCCATGTTTTTCACTCTCTCCAGACTGTCCAGACACGTGGTGCTGCAGTAATAAAGGCACGCAAGCTGTCCAGTGCAATGTCGGCTGCCAATGCCATTTGTGATCACATGAGAGACTGGTGGCATGGAACTCCAGAGGTGTTTTTTTTTTTTTTTTTTTTTTTTTTTTTTTTTGTGAAGTTCTAATATGCATCACACGGATGGCAATGAATTGATCTTAATTGTCTTTGTGTAACTGTTAACATTTGAGGAATCTTAAACCAAGAAATGCTTTTCTGGTTGGTAACATGTGTAACAATGTTGAGTCAAACACTGATGTCAAAACAAAACAATTTTCCCTTTTTCCCCTGTGTTACTCTGTTAAAATGGTATAAACAAAATTTTGTGTAGGAATCCAAATTTAACTTATTTTTGTTTTTAGGGCAAATGGGTGTCCATGGGAGTCTCCTCTAGTGGTGCCTATGGAATTGAACCTGAGCTGATCTACAGCTTCCCAGTCACAATAGATAAAGGTCGCAATTGGAAGATTGTTGAGGGCCTTCCCATTGACGACTTCTCCAGAGATAAGATGGATAAGACCATGAAGGAGCTCCAAGAAGAACGCAGCACTGCACTGGAAACAGTTAAAGACTGACTTGTGAACAAAATGTCGAATCTCTGAGATATTAATGTTAAATTAGATGGTCACTGATTTTAACCACAGTAAATTTGAATTTGTCATGAGAGCATATTAGATGTGTTAGGTGCATAATTCTGCAAGATAATAAGCTTCTAGGTTTATAACAACTTATTCAGATATTGATCAACTGTCGTATATTTATCTTCACATTCATGACAGCGTATATTTGAATGTGTAAGGTTTTATGGTTAAACGAGAACAGTCTGAAGCAATTGATACTTATTCTACAGATGAAGGACATGAAATGGACTTGTATAGCAGAAAAATCATGCTAGAAGCAAATCTTTGATGTATGTATGAGATGTACTTTCTCATCAGGTTAGGAGATTGGCTATGAAAAGATCAATGCTGAACGGGACTAGTTCTGCAGTAAACAATTTGATGTACTGGCAGGAACACAGAATAACGTATATTGGCTTGTGAAATTGGGGACAATTATTGATGTTATTTTGTTTGCAAGTGTTGCAACTGCTTACTGATCAACGGTGTAATTTGTCAGTTTAAGCTATTAATAAAAATAATTAGAAAAAATGGAGGGATTGTTGTGTGTGCATGTGGATTAAAAATTCTTACAATAATTGGCATCAAATTCTTCACTGAACTTACTTTAAAAACTTGAGCACTGTAAATATACAACCACAATTGAATTCCCGTTTTAGAACAATATATCTAAACTGGCATTTTTCTATAGAATCTCTTCCATTCAAAAGGCTCTAGAACAGTGGCTTATGCAAATAAATATGGAAAACATCAGTCTTTACACTAAATATTTTACTTCCTGTGACACCCATTTCAACTTCTTATTTTTGGTCATTAAATTACAGTTTTTTATTGTCTTTATCCTCCATAGGCAGGAATTCCTACATTGTATATGGTACAGAAAAGTGTCTTGTCTGGCACAGTAATTACTTCATCCTCTTGGCTAAAATGTCATTCTCCATGTTGGCATTCTAATCTTGCAAAACTGTATCAAGTGGGAAGTCTACATTTGTCTGGTATTTTGAATCTGAAATTTAAAATATGAGAAAAATAATAATTGAAATTGATCTTAAAAAAAGAAAAGACCACTGTTTACTTTCAAGGTGAAAAAGACGACTAAAATAACTTTATATCCTGGTTTAATGTAGACTTTAGAGTCATTGCTTGTTTGTTTGTTTGTTAGTTTTTATTTATTTATTTAATATTTAACATTTGGTGGAACATTATTCGTAATTTCTTTTGGGCTTACATACCAGTACGTACAGGCTATTATCAAAGAAAAGGTCCTTTGAAGGATTATGAAATACCTACCTTTGTGCAGCATCTTCTGTATAGAGCAACTGTTCTGAATAATATTCAAACAAAAGGTTCTTGTCTGTGAGATACTGATGTTGATGTATAAAATCTTCAAATGTAGTTTCTGTTCCCCTGCTCTGTTCCATAGCATGACTAATCATGTTGATATAGAACATGGTAATAGTTTCATGGTAACCTCTTGAAATCTGAAAAAAATTAATCAAATAATTAAAAATATTGCCATAATATGTGAAATAATCTACACCTGATGAAAAGAGGACATCTTTCAAGATATTTGTGGCAAATGCCTGTATTTATATTAAAATGGTATTGGTTTATAACTTATGCAACTTGCAAATTAGCATGCCATGTCTGAAACATATGAAATTCAATAGCTGAGAAAAAATAAGGCCAAGCATGGTGGCTTATAGTGACATGACAAGGTAATGATCAGAAAAGTGCCTTTATACAGAGTGCTTCATATAGGGTAAATGGACATTGTTCTTAGTACGGTAAAGTATCAGAAATGCACAAAAATCTGTGTTAATGGGGTACTTCTGGCTGAAAAAATTTGATCGTTTGCCTTGAATGAATTATTTAGTCTGATGTAATAATTGAAAAATAAAATCATCAGAATAAAAATGAAAATGAAGAAAAAAATTTATACCATTAATTAGTTAAAGATTCCCCTGGGGTTTGACTTTGAGGTCATTTGGGACCTCAGCTGTGCTGAAACATGGGGGCCATTTTCTACATAAAAGCCAATGGTCCCCAAAATTCTAACAAAGTAACAAACACTAATTAACAATTTAATGAACAGATTAAGGTGGAACTTACTAAATGTTTGTGTCTCTCATTATACTCTTTGATACCTTTCCTACAAAAAAAGCACAATAATATTTAGCATGTATCATAATTGTTAAGGACAAAAAGTAGAGATTAATGAAATTGAAAAGTAAAGTTAAATAGTTCAATTAAGACCAAACAAGGACCTTGCTTGTCATGTGGTAATGTAAAGCAAAGTTAACTAAAACAGCAATTTTTAAAAAAAACATTTTCCAACTTAAATATCAAAATTATTTAAATTATTTTTTACTTCAACGCTGTCCAGAAACTTGGAATATCTTAAGTAAAAAGTATTTGAACAAGTCCTGTTTGAAAAATGTGACTTTTTGAGGGGGGCAATTAAGTTTTACCCCCCCCCCCCCCCTTCAAACACACACACACACACACAGCCTGAAAAAAAATATGCCAGGCCCTGTATTAAATATCACGTGCACCTACTTTATCAGAGGAATAGCTTCTTCTTTCCCCCATTCTTTTATATAATTCCAAGCCATGCGCAAATGGGCTTCATGTGTCCAGTCTTCAAATGGTAATGTCTTGTCTTCAAAGGCATGCATAAATACTTCATCTCCAATCGTTCTGTATTTCCTAGGTTATAAAAAGTACACATTTTTATTATCCAAAAAAATTTATAATAACACATGAGTACAACAAAGCATTTATTAACGTATCCAAAAATAACATTAACCCACAATACTTAATATGACAGCCCAATCAGGAGTGCAATAAAGGCATCTGTTTATGCCATGCAGCCTATCTACCCTCTACCAGGGCCACAAATTGATTTTCCACTACATATTCATAGATAAGGTCTCTTACTAAAAATGGTCAATCTTCTAACTGTTCATAGAGAACAAAATGGCCACCTATTTATCTAAAGACATCTGTGAATATCTAGTGAAAAATCAATCTGTGGCCCTGGTAGAGGGTAGAGCCTACATTTACATTTTAACAACAATGAATGATACATCAATGATTCCCAACTATACACTGCACAGTTTGAAATATGGCATATATTATGCACCATCAACAGTCCCCAATACAGATCAAACAAAAATATTACATCATATGTAAACTGCAGAAGATGTAAAGTTATAATTTCCTTAATATGGTGTGAGAGGGTAAGTAAAAAAAAAAAAGAGTTAAATGCTTGCCCTTTAATAATAAAAAAGTTCCACTTCTAGTTATACATTATGCAATGGACCCAGGCTACGTGTGTGCACATTGCTGCCAAAGCTGAACTGAGACTTATGAATTTTAGGACCGTTTTAAAGTTGGTCTGTTGGGGTAAAAAAAATTCCAAATTCAACAAAATACAAATGCATTTTAATACTTAAAAGTATCATTATCATTTATATTACAAAAAATAAAACTACTCCTGAAATCAAATTACATGCCTTTAACATGTTGTATTTACTTTCAAATAACATCTATTTCTTAAAAAAACACATAAAACATAAATTGACATTGTGTAATAGTGGTCTCACCATTTAAACTGTATGTGCATTTCATTCATCAGAACAAAATGTTACAAAATAAATACATTTGATACCTTCTGTAATATAACATTGGCTCTCCTATTTCTGCACTTGTAGAGGTTTCTAATAGTTCTCCATAGAATACATTGTGATCTCCTATCTGATGTACAGAATGCAATTTACATTGCAGGGTTGCCAATGCACCATTTATCAGAGGAGTGCCCTATAAGTAGATCACAAAGGTACCTGTAGCAAATATATATATGGTTACACAATTTTAAACAAGGCAGCAAAGCTGTCAAATGTACAGACAAAAACTNATAAAAATGCCAGGCCCTGTATTAAATATCACCTGCACCTACTTTATCAGAGGAATAGCTTCTTCTTTCCCCCATTCTCTTATATAATTCCAAGCCATGCGCAAATGGGCTTCATGTGTCCAGTCTTCAAATGGTAATGTCTTGTCTTCAAAGGCATGCATAAATACTTCATCTCCAATCGTTCTGTATTTCCTAGGTTATAAAAAGTACACATTTTTATTATCCAAAAAAAATTTATAATAACACATGAGTACAACAAAGCATTTATTAATGTATCCAAAAATAACATTAACCCACAATACTTAATATGACAGCCCAATCAGGAGTGCAATAAAGGCATCTGTTTATGCCATGCAGCCTATGTACCCTCTACCAGTGCCACAAATTGATTTTTCACTAGATATTCATAGATAAGGTCTCTTACTAAAAATGGTCAATCTTCTAACTGTTCATAGAGAACAAAATGGCCACCTATTTATCTAAAGACATCTGTGAATATCTAGTGAAAAATCAATCTGTGGCCCTGGTAGAGGGTAGAGCCTACATTTACATTTTAACAACAATGAATGATACATCAATGATTCCCAACTATTCACTGCACAGTGTGTAATATGGCATACATATATAATGCACCATTGACAGTCCCCAATACAGATCAAACAAAAATATTACATCATATGTAAATTGCAGGAGAAGATCTAAAGTTATAATTTCCTTAATATGGTGAGAGAAGGTAAGTAAAAAAAAAAAACAGAGAAATGCTTGTCCTTTAATTATAAAAAAGTTCACACTTCTAATTATACATTATGCCATGGACCCAGGCTCTGTGTGTGCTCCACATTGCTGCCAAAACTGAATTGAGACTTATGATTGGTCTATTGGGGTCAAAAAAATTACCAAACACAACAAAATAGAAATGCATTTTAATACTTAAAAGTATCATTATCATTAATATTACAAAAAAAAACTACTTCTGAAATTAAATTACATGCCTTTAACATGTTGTTTTTACTTTCAAATAACATCTATTTCTTAAAAAAACACATAAAACATAAATTGACATTGTGTAATAGTGGTCTCACCATTTAAACTGTATGTGCATTTCATTCATTGGAACAAAATGTTACAAAATAAATACATTTGATACCTTCTGTAATATAACATTGGCTCTCCTATTTCTGCACTTGTAGAGGTTTCTAATAGTTCTCCATAGAATACATTGTGATCTCCTATCTGATGTACAGAATGCAATTTACATTGCAGGATTGCCAATGCACCATTTATCAGAGGAGTGCCCTAGAAGTAGATCACAAAAGTACCTGTAGCAAATACAATTTTAAAAAACAACAAATAAACCTGAGACATGTCTAAACCTAAACTCTAAGTTTCCTGGAATATACTTTGTGCAGCACATGTATTTGCACAAAGTGCACTTCACCATCTCACACACACACACACACACACACACCATCACACACACACGAAAAAAAAAAGAAAAGAAATTAACTTGAGAACAAATATTCATCAGCTTGGGATATATTAATAATAAATTCTGGGATGTTAATCAGGAACATCAACTCATAAATAATTTTCTTGTGAACAAATTATCTGTAATATTTTTTCACATGATCATCCTGATATTGAATTGCATTATCATCTTCTCTTAGTATGTATAGTGTGATACCTTGATTCCAGATTCATGTATAACTGTTCCAAACTGGTCGACACCATCTTTTGCTGGAGTTGAAAAATGAACACTAAGCTTGATCTGAAATATAAAATATATGTCAATATTATTATACAAACACACAGACTGACACATGCACATACATACATACATACATACATACATACATACANTGTAATATTTTTTCACATGATCATCCTAATATTGAACTGCATTATCATCTTCTCTTAGTATGTATAGTGTGATACCTTGATTCCAGATTCATGTATAACTGTTCCAAACTGGTCGACACCATCTTTTGCTGGAGTTGAAAAATGAACACTAAGCTTGATCTGAAATATAAAATATATGTCAATATTATTATACAAACACACAGACTGACACATGCACATACATACGTACATACATACAGAAAATGAATGGTTAGCTTGATCTAAAATATGATATTTACATGTATCAATACTATATTTCACACATACAAATACAAACACACATTAGAATTTAGTCATGTTTACACTAGTGTGGAAAAAGTTCCATTGCTAAAATTTCATAAATGTTTTCAGTTCCTATAACCATCATTTCTTCATTGGAACAGTCAATTCTTAAAAACTGGTCCCATTAAGGGCTAGTACCTGTTGGCTAAGGAGTTTTTGGCACATACTGTATGAGGACCAATCACTGACTTCAACCACTTCAACAGCCATTTCAAAAACAAATGGTTTATCAAATCTAAATTCACTGATAAAAATTATTACAACAAAAAATATCTTACCTGATTTTTGGCTAACACATTTACTGCAAAATAATTTGATTGAAGTAGTGTATTGTGGAAACGACTGAAACACAAACAAAAATAATAAAACCCCAGAGTTAATCAAAATACATTATTTTCCATCAAATTACAAATTAATATAGTCATCATAATGTGTTATAAGAATGAATCCCCAACATTTTGTTCCATAACTTCGCTTACAGTACCAGGCCTCCCAGACAGCTATGATGCATAACCATGAAACCCTAAAAAATCCCAAAAACCCCGCCACAAAATCTTATCTGGAGTACAACTCACACATGTATTGGACTGCATTTTTATTCTAATATCTTATTATTTATAACTGTATATTGCATACTTTTGTAACTTGCAAAATGATCAAAAATTGAATCAAAACTGAAGTTTTAAAATATCTTCACTGTCTGTACCTTGGATTGTTGACACAGACTGACACTATAGGTGGTTCTAGTGAAGTACTTGTGAAAGAGCTGCATGTTAAGCCTCTTTTGGTCCAGCTGTGAGATTTATCATCATACGCTGCTGTTGTCACTACCACCACTGTAAATTTAAGAAATTAAATAAAATTATTCTGCCAATAGCTGTGACAAATTAAACTCCATAACATATTCACAACTAATATATCAATAAAAAGTTAGTCTTCAATTATCAACTTTATTTTGTGAGACTCTTTTCCAGTTGATATTCATGTTAACAATTCACAAATATTTAACTGTAACATTTGTTCATCTTGTAAAATCATTTGAGCCGAGTTTAAATTCTTACCTGGTTGTGGTACTAATCTCATTACACTCCTTAACTTGTCTCCTTCTTTACTAGTGTCTCTGGTAGCATTTTTCACCACTTCTTTCACTTGCACTGAATATAATAAAGTATAATAAAGTTATAAACTTATAAAGGTAGCAAAAATTAAGCAAATACATTTTTCCATATATATTACACACACAAATATGATGCTGTAAAACACGAATTTTAGCTCTTTTAGCTCTCATCAGTTTAATATTTCTGCTTGGGGTGGTTTCTGCTTCTGTTGCTTAAAAATGATTTTTAGGACTTTACATTAAGGTGTGTCATGTTGTTGTCTTGGCGTAAAGCATTTCTTTGCTCTCCATGATCATTAATTTGCATAATAATTGATATGATAGCCCAACACCAAACTAAAAACTGATTTAATAATATAATAATAATTTTATTGAGCACTAAAACGTTTCAGTACATTTTGCAGGCCCTCTAAACTACTTGTATATAGATACATTTAGTACAATCTAGACCTATTATCACAATAAAAATAAATAAATAATAATAATAATAATAATAATAATAATAATAATAATAATAAGATAAAAAATACCTATATTACATAATGACAATTACATTGTTCTGTATTGTGGTAGACTTGCTCATTATTATTGACAGGCTAGTCTTTTTTTAAATGTTTGTTGGATGAAGTGACACACGGTTTTTAGGGAGTGTTCACTTTGAGGATTGAGAAGCCAGGCAAGTTTTTCTAAATCAGATGACATTTGCGGCGGTATCATTTTTATCATTTTTTTCTCTTTCGTTCACATGCTCATTACATTTTAGTAGGAAATGCACTTCTGTTTCAACATCATTGCAATGTGGACATATTCGGTTTTCTACTGGTTTTTTGGGTTTTGTGTAGCGACCTCTTTCAATTTCTAGGTCATGGTCACTGATTCGAAATTTTGCAAGTGTTTTTATTTCTTTTAGAGGGACTTTCATTGTGAGATAATTTTCTGGAGTGTAGGATTTCTTTATTGCTTTATAAGTTCTTAGTTTGCTTTTATTGTCACTGTGCAGATCGGTCCAAAAAAGTTCTTCAATTTTTTTAATAACATTTACTTGAAGTAAGTTTGGGTCTACAGTGTTTAGATCTGATGACAGTCCCCAGAGGTCTATAAAAGTTTTCAGAGAGCTTGACCAGCTAGGCCCTTTTAAATGGATTTCTCTTTCATAGATTTGTTTCACGATTCTATTTGGAGCAAGTTCTTTGAAACGAATTTGGTACTTAAAAACATGTTTTACAATATCTGTGTAGAGTGGCAGCCTTCCAAGTTCTGCCCTACTTGCATTGTTGCTTGCATATTTCCGTACACCAAGAGCCCACTTACACGTTTTTAGATGGAGCTGCTCAAAAGGCATTTTATTAATTTTTTGGAGGGAGATTTTCTTATCTTTAAATAGTTCCTCTGCCCAAACTTCACAACCATAGAGTAAGATTGGCTTGACGGTTTTATCAAAGAGTTTCATGTATAGTAGGGGAGAAGATATTTGGTGTGAGGAAAGTGCTGTTTTCAGTGCAAAAGATGCGTTCATTGCATTTTGTTTCAGGTTTTCAATTGCTTTTTTTAAAGACCCTGTGTTTGTGAAGGTTATTCCTAAGTATGTGAAATTCTTCACAGATTCTATGATTTTGTTATTTATATAAAAGTTAATATTCTTGTCTAGTTTCCCTTGTTTGTTAAAGATGACAACTTTTGACTTTTTCTCATTTACCTGAAGCTTCCATTTTCTGCAATATGTTTGAAGTGCTAATAAGTGGCCTTGCAGTCCTTCCTTGCTAGTTGATAACAGGACAAGGTCATCTGCATAGAGGATGTGGTTTAGGCCATCAATTGAGCAGTCCTTATTTTTGTTCTTAAAGATTTCTTTAAATTACATATACATCTACTAAATTTTTGTAGTAATGATTTAGTATACAGTATAAACTACTAAAAAGAAGTTAGGAAACTAACACCTGCCATTTATGATGCAAAAGTTTCATACTGTAGTTGCCTATTATTATTAAATATTCACTTGCTACTGTTCAAAGACATTATTCTATATTGAATGACATTTCTACTTTAATTTATTTGCAATAAAAATAAAATTTGCATTTGTTCAAGACATTGTTAAACTTATTTTTGGGTAAAATGTGAATAAAATAGCTTGACCTGCTTTAAACTTCCCCAGGTTCATGCCCAAGTGAAAATTGAGGTTCTAAAGAATAGATATCATGCTTACTCATGTGAGTATTCATCATGAGAATCACACTGCAAGGGCAGTCACATCCCAATGACATACTATAGTTTGTCACCGCACGGCAACATGGAAAGACGGTGTCATTCAGGCTTATCAAATGCAGTCTTTGCCATACTGGACACAGCCAGAAACCAAGATGGAAGTCTTTCAGTAACTCACATGTACAGTTACAATTAATTTAGAATCGAGAACAGCAATGGCAGAATTTTTGTTATTGTATACATAAAATGTGCCAAATTTTTGGGCATCCTTAGAGTAAAAGTATGGTTGATGACATACGGAATGGCATATCAAGATATGGGACCTAGCACTTGTTGTCAGGGTATTTTTAAAACTTATCTGAATCTATAATATAAAATTTTAAGAGCGTCCACATCACGGTGGATCCTCAAACTGGTCGTCATTTAACAGTTTTTGAGGCCTTGTCATGCGATTGCACATCCAATGTATATCAGAAACCATAATTAGGACTTAAACGCACATGTAAATCAGTAACATGTGCAGACGACAAAAAACTGCTGACATTGACAATCAATTTTGTTAAAACGTCTAGTATTATCAGTAAAAAAAATCGCACCTGTGGAACACATTCGGCATCTCAGATTCGATCTCATTAAGCCGCAACTTCCATTTTCGGCACCTGTGACATTTAGAAACCATCCTGTAACTCTGCCAAGTCGTCTCATGTTTCCTGAAGAAAATTCGTCTGAGTATTTGTACGACCTTGAGCTTTGCAACAGAGCCCAATTTATTTTCGGTGCTTTGTTCTAAGTTGATACAGCGGCAGTTTATAATTATTGAAATTTATATTAATCTGTTTAATTAAAAAAAGTATGTTGTGAGCATGTTTTATTCATTGTACCATGTTTTTGTTCGATGACATTCAATAAACATTTGGTAAACAAAAATTAATGTGGTGTACTAGCTCTGCATGATAGTTCACTTCGCATGCTGTGTTTAGCATGGGAAGCTCACGATGGTTTGGAATAACAGCAAAGTTATTACGTTCTAGTTGTCAGAAAAATACATTATTTGACAATTTTTTGCATACCACTCCAGTAAGACTTAAGACTACTGTGAAAAATCTTAAAGGAAGAAAAACAAGCTCCCAGCAATGGCTGAGACGCCAGTTAAATGATCCTTATGTTGTTCAAAGCCGACTGCAGCAGTGGCGATGCCGCAGTGCGTTCAAATTGATGGAGATCGATGACAAAAACCATATATTCAGACAAGGAGATGTGGTTATCGACTGTGGAGCTCACCCAGGGTCATGGTCACAAGTTGCAGTACAAAGAGTAAATGCGACAGGAGAAGGTGATTTGTACATCTATAATTATATGAATACATATATAAAACTATTTCTAAAGAATTTAATTGTTTTTACATGGACCTTTGGTTGATTTCATTACAGAAGCCTCATCAGAATTGAAAAATGTGATTTAGTTGTGGCAGTAAGATAAAAATAACAAGTTATTTTTGTGGACATGGCAAAAACATGCTCAAGTCTCTACTTTAGGGGGTGCTAAAATCTAAATATTGGAGCTAGTCCTTCCAGTTAAGTTATTGCAGGCCTGTTCATTTCCCTATAACATGATTAGTTCATGGTATTGAGGACAGATGTAGATATTTTAATCCCCCCCCCCCCCAAAAAAAAAAGAAAAGAAAACCTACAGTATAAGTTTTTATATGACTGAAAAATAATGAAAATTGGAGGGGTAATTTAAAAGTAATAATGACACATTTGGGCTGATGTTTGCCCAATTTTTCATAAAAAACTGTTGACCTGCCTTAACAGTTGCTAGGTATTTTGTGGAGATCTAGCAGATTTTGCCATAAACTGTTTTTTAACATTTATTTAGTTGTATTGTTTGTATTATATAATAAAAAATGTTATCTTGAAGGATATCATTGTTCAGTGGTTGAGTTATATACTAACATAATTATAGACTTCTACTTTCCGTCAACATATTTTTTGTGGACTTCAGAAAAGTAATATCCACGAAGACTGCACCTTGGCCTTTGTCACTTTTCCGGGGACTGCAAAACTACGTTTTGACCACACCTAAAGCCTGTGATTGTATATTATACAAAAACTTTGCTGTGTTCATTTTAAAAGTCTGAATTTTGTTGTTAATCTTTCCAGATAGTGAAGCAGAAGTTGGTTTTGTGATCGGCATAGACATGGCCCAGACAGCACCTTTATCTGGTGCCCAGATAATAACAGGAGACTTCACATTGCCAGATGTACAACAAAAAATTTCCAAAATCTTGATGGGAAAACAGGCCAGTGTGGTCCTCAGTGACATGGCCCCCAGGGCTTGTGGTATAAAGTCACTGGATCATGAAATTATAGTGGACTTGGCAAGGACTGCTTTGACATTCTCTCACACAGTTCTCAAGCAGGGTGGACATTTTGTATGCAAATTGTGGGATGGAAATGAAACTAAAGCGTTAGAGGAGCTGATGAAAACGTACTTTCATACAGTGAAGAGAATGGTTCCCAATGCTAGTAGAAAAGAATCAAAAGAACTTTATCTTCTTGGAATTGGGTACAGTAAAAAGATGGATAAAAGTTAACACAAATATACATTTTTGCATCAAATTTTATTTTTCTCCTTGGAGGAAGTTCTAAATTCTGGAATAGAGACTTGCAAGATTTTTTTCTCAATGGATTAATCGTAATATCAGCTGCTAGATGAAAACTTCACAAGTTTTTTAAATTAATATCATTTTCAAGTGACTTCTACATATGACTTGTAAAAATGCAAATCTGATTTATACAGTAGTACATAATGTTGTTTAAAGTTGTAATTTTTGCCATTAGATGATTACTATGTATTTTGATCCTAACCTCCTTTACTCAATACAACCTTAATCATGCATGAAAAATACATATTTTGGCTGTATAAAAAATATATGTATATAACTGCAACACCCTTTCTACATGATGGCTTGACTTAATTTCATGTATCACAATTTTAATTGGGGGAAAATTTAATCCCTTTAAAAATTACACCTCTTGAAATAAATCTTGATTATAATAGCACTCTGGAGAGCAAAACATTTAATAAATCTTAACATTATCACTGCAGTTGGAACATAATGAGTTCAGTTTTTAAACAAAAGTGAATAAGTATTCACTAACAGTTTTGTAATAGTTTTATCATAACATGTGTCATAGAGTGATTTAATGGTCCCATGGAACTAGCACACAAGTGAATCAATTCCCTTTCCCATGTTTTTTACAGTTGTCTTAAGTGTCCTGTCCTTATTGTTGAATAAGTAATGGGTACAATATTTGCTAGAAAAAAAGATAAATATGGTTAAACCACTTTCGTGCCTTACAAAGTATTTACTTGGGTATTTATTGCCCATTCTATCATATTGGTTCTTAATCAACATCTCCCACTTTCAATCTAAAAGCAAGGTGCTCTTATACACAAAACTGACAAATATATTTAAAACCCTGTTAATCAGTTTCTACATTTCCCTTATAAATCCTTTAAAACCACTTCTGGGATAATGCACTATCTACATTGCTGATGCTTAAAAATAAAGTTGATCTGGAAAAAATTAACCAGAAGACTATAACTGGTGTCCACTTCACATGTACAGAAGCCATTGCAACCTCAAACATTTGCATGGTTAACATTTTACCTGGATTTAAAAGTCTGGTGTCTGCTCTTCTTTGGGCCAGTCAATATCATATTTGAGTCTATCAAGTTTTATTCTTGTATGAAAACTAATCTTGGGTAACAAAATTCTACAAACATGTTTTATGAATTGCTAACTTTAAATGAGATATCACTATTTTGTAGGCACCAGTCTATGAGCACTTAAGATAAATGTCAAGCTACAGTAGTCACAACCATTAACATGATTTCCACCGTTCACCTGCAGGTTCATGGCTGGTTTGACAAACCAAAAGGGTCTCAGCCCGTTCTATAATTTCAGCTAAACTGTGATTGCTCTCAGTCTCAACTGTTTTCAGTAAATCTAGCAAGTCTGGCTGATATATCTTTCTGCAGCAGAGCAAGACTGCCCTTGACTTCAGAGGGTCTCTTGATACCTACTACAATCAGCTTCCCATCATTTAAGGCAACAAGGATGTGACTGTTCCCATTCGTAATGGAGATGCTGCGAATTGGAATGTGCAGTGGAAGAGTTGTCAGTGTTGTAAGCCTAAAATAATATTTTGAAAGGAATAAGTATGAATGGTTTATGGCAATTTATATATATATATATATATATATGATATCATAGACAAATTTTTTAATAAAAGAAACTTGGTTCTAGTCTTTTTTTTCATCTCAAAGCCATACAATCTGTGGTTAAATTAAAAGAAATGTAGAAAATAACATTCTAATTCACCTTTATTCGAATGCTGCTTATAATTGAAACAAATGCTATGTAAGCCTTAGAAATCCCAAAATAAATAAAGTTAGGAAAAAGTAAAAATCTGCCCATTTCAAATCAATTTGAATCTCATGCTGAGCTATAAGTATGATTACAAAAGAAAGCAAAACTCTAGTGTCTAATACATATTGGCTGTCTCGTTCTAGCTTTTGGTTTAGATCCTAAATTGTAGAATTTTTATGGCACTCCTTTATCCATACATGTATTACCAGTTTAGTTACACTGATCCAATTTTTGATGCACTATAGACTCTGCATTGAGATTGCATTGTATGACTTTGAGGTAGGTTGCATCATTTTGTTTTGAGATTTAAATTATTTGATTAATTGAAGACGACCTGTAAATCTACTTATAAAGACACTAACAATTACTATTATTGTAATGCATTGCAATGGTTTTAAAGTATGAGTGCACTCAGAACAGTGGACTACAGATCCACAGAACAAATATGGCCAACCAACTTGAATGCTTGTTGCATAATCCCCGTGGGGAATCTATTAAGTGTTTCATCGGGAATTAAATGGCAAGCTTTTCAGTGGGTCGCCATATTTGATCCCCAGACCTGTTAGTTCGCTGTGCTGAATGTGCTCTATAACAATCTGTATTCACTGTTCAAAGAACTCCACCCCCTCAAAACACAGACAGAACCAAAAACCTACCCAAAAAGGGCTTTGATGATCAGTGTCCCCTGGCTGTTACCAACCAGCAGATGGTCCCCTGTCAGTGCCATGTGGCTGATATAGTATGACAGTTTCTCTGTAGTAAAATGCTTCCCATTGACAGAGTATGCATGAAGGTAGCCTTGTTTCTGAAAAATATAAAGTAAAAATTAAATTTGTGATTTGAAAAGATTTCCATGTATCACAGCGACATGTGCATTATACACGTAGGTATAATAAATAGATTCATTCATCCTTATTTTATAAGTTACGTTTTCTTGAGCAGGTGTTTTCTACCTGTGAGTTAATCTATCAAAAAAGGTTACCCTACAACAAGAAAACCTGTTGCAATACTCTACACCTTACAGCCACAAATAAAAAAGTAATTTCACAACTTCTTATCACAATTTCCAAGAAATTATTATTAATTATTATTATGTAACAAATCTAACAAATATTCTATGCCTTTAAAGCCAAATTTCAATATATATGTACCTTATCTGGCAGCTGGACTGTGGAATATGTAATAATATGTCCTACATATGACACCCCTAGCTGGTGGATTTCCAGAGAAGACGGGTCTTCACATGGTGGTCTCAGTGTATGCATGTACATTCCCTTCCTCACTGTGTGGACTATTATGGTGCCATCCTGAAATACAGTGGAATAAACAGACATTTTAGTCACAAACCCCTGGGATTCCAAAATCAGTTGTTTTTTTAACAAAGCTTTATTTTTACCTTAATGCAAATGTAGGAGGCTGTTTTCATCAACATCTGTTTGTCAATGGACAAGATATTATAAAGATTTTCCTCATGAATATGATAAATTCCTCAGGATAGAAAGTTAATCCAGAGTAAAAGTGATGATAAATTTAACTAAATCCGGGTCTCCTAATGTTTTAAAAGCATTTTGCTATTGCCCTTTTTCCTTGGCAGAGGTCTGCACTCTTGGAGTATATTTAATATGCAGTTATCTTAAAGTTTCCCAAATTTAATTACAAGAGAATCTTTTTTTAACAAATTGATAGAAACATGACTTTTGCAAATAACTCGTGAACAGTTCAATCAACATTTTATATCAATTTTTTGATATATCATATATCAATATAAACCACATATCAAAACTGACCTTTGACCCAGACACTGCCATGTCCAATTCCACTGAGATTGCAATACATGTCACTTCTTTGTCATGCCCATATAGGACTTGGAGAGGCTTGGAGTCTAAACCTGAACTGGCTCCAGACTTGAAAAATACAAATAAACCACAAGCATGTTGAAAAATTATATAAAAGTAAATCGCCTCCAAAGAGGCTACAAGTGTTTTATACCACAAGCCACAACATTTCGGCCCTTTATCAAAGGGCCTTGATTACAAGACTGACTTGTCAAGAAAAGCTGCTGAAGTTAGGATATTATTGATAAAAGGTCAAATCCCATGCTTTATAGATAAAACACTTTTCATTTTTAAGAAACAATTTCTTTTTTTACCACAGCATAAAATTATGGGGGGGTTCTAAAATACTTTGTGTAATTCATGAAAAAATTGTGTACTACATTAGACAATATCTAAATATTTTATAACAAGATCACTCAAAACTCAACAAACCATTTAGCACCTAGGCCTTCTTTCCAACTTGTACCTTTAACACAGACTCTTAACATGTTCATATTTCAAGTAATTTTCTCTACCTGAAATGCCACCTTGTACCTTTAACACAGACTCTTAACATGTTCATATTTCAAGTAATTTTCTCTACCTGAAATGCCACCTTGTACCTTTAACACAATTCTTAACATGTTCATATTCCAAGTAACCTGGCCTTATGTTCCACAAGGGACTAAGAGGAATGATGATGATGATTCCAAACTAGAGGATCAGAGAGGCGATACCGCCTCCAAATATTGTACCACCAGCTGGAGCAAACGCATTCGTATAGACCCCCACATACACAAAATAAGGGACACAGCGACCAGTTTTGTGCTTGACAAGCTGTAAAAATGCAATCAACAAGAATTTTTTAAGNTCTCTCCACATAAAATGCCACCTTGTACCTTTAACACAATTCTTAACATGTTCATATACCAAGTTACTATATGTACCTGAAATGCCACTTGCCAAATCATACAAGTGGTGTCTCTGGATCCGGTCATGAGATGTGTGCCACAGTAGTCAAGTGCCACACAGGTGATCACATCCTCGTGCCTGGTGATGTGACCCACCATCTTGTACTTATCAATACTGTACACCCGCAGGCTGTTATCCCAGTGGCCACCACTGAAGAACAACTTGGCATCATGGGAGGCTGCGAATAACTTGCTGGTCACTCGGATGTCCGGACTGAAGGGGCCTGCTTGTCGCCGCTTTGGACTGGAAGAAATGATAATTAGATAGAATTCAACAATGTATAAAGTATAAGACTTCAAATGATTACAGATTGGCAAACTTACAAAATCTCAGAATCAAGAGAGAGAGAATGAGACATGGACTGTTGTGTACTCACATGCCGTAAGTACGATCCTTTTCAAAAGTGAAGTAGTTTGAGATCGATTTGTCATAAGGAAGCCATTCATGTAGCCCCAGTATGCCCTGCTCAGACACAGTCACCTAAAATATGACAAAGATATAATTCATTTAAAATCCTTATGAAATTTGTAAAAACTCAAAGCATATGTCTGTCAGTACTACATGTATTTTGGTAAATTCTTTTTTACATAAATCCAACATGATGAGTTATAAGACAAAAAATCTTAAAGTAAAAAATAACCATAAATATCAAATATCAACTTTATATTGTGTCTGCAAAGCCATTGGACTTAGACTTTTAATCTGTTCGACAAATCCAACAGCTATTTTTCTTTACCATTTTGTCAGGTGTACCATGCTGAATAAAAGACCTGGCCTGGTTTCTGGGTACACTGACAAATATCAAGGGGTCATCTTCCTCTGACACCTGTGGAAAGTAAGGCATGGAAATTATATAAGGATAACAGAAACAATAGATGCATTTTATGAACAAAAATTCTTTTAAACAACATTGTGGAAGACTATCATTTATGGCAAACTTGGGCAAATGATTCTGAACATTTTATTTTATGATTCTGAACATCTGATTTATTAAAAAATCAAAAGGTTCATGCAGTTAGCTTTATTATCTTTATTATTTATTTTGTCTGTATATGTAATTAAAGCAAATACTTGAAATTGCAAATGATTTTGATTCAAATACACTTCCTACCTTTACAAAGAAAGCCTTTAGGTGACTGAGAAAATGAAGAACACTTAAAGGACGGTCTGTCCTTATAGAATGCTGCATCGTTTCCTCAAATGTCAACCTCTTTGGATGGGGTTCCTGAAACAATGACACAAATTTTAAATTGCTAGTCCCAAACAACAAGCAATCTATCTCAACAATGGTATTACTTAAAGTAAGAAGAGCTTCAAACTACTTGACATATGATACTCCATTTAACAAATCAAAAACTATCACAAAATATACAAAAACATAGGGATTAATGAAAAATTATTATTGATTGAGTTTTAAAATCTTATTTAAACTCTTTAATCTTATTTAAAATCTTGCCTTTAGTAGCTGGCAAGGCGTTTGCCCAAAGTTATTGATCATTCCTTCTACAGCCTTTCTTTCAATAGGGTTTTTTATTGCATCCAAATCCACTGCACCTGAAGAACAATGAATCACATAGAGGGTAAATTATATGTGTGAAATATTTCAGGAGACAGCTTTGTATCACATTTCCAATCCTTTTCCTTTCCTGCAGGGTCAGTTTCAACTAAATCATTCATTCAAATACTGCATCTAAACTCATTCTCTAGATAATTACATTAAATTTTATTTTTGAATGGGAGTTACCAAATTCATTACAGTAAATAAGCTATCATTCTGTGCGTGATTTGTATGTTTTCTGGTGAGTAATGCATCTTCCTTTCTTACCTTCATAAGTACAATACCAGAAGACATTGACAGCTTCTACTGCTGCTGGTCCTTTCTGTTTGTAACCAAATATCAGGTCTATCCATTCATGTAGATAAGCTGACACATAATCTGACTCCTGAAATGAGAAAAAAGTTACATTACTGTCTTATTGCAGGCAAATTAGCAACATATAACCACAAATTGCTTAAAATACACAAACTGGGTTTCTTATTACATATATATCTATATATTTATATGCTGTAACATTAAGGTTATTTATCACAAACTCAAATATTTGCCCTACCCTTTAAGATTCAAATGATCAGGAGCTTGACATTTTTCAAACAGCAAAAATTTAAGACAAAATGTAAAACAAATATTTAAATAATGAATGGAGCAAGATAACAACCTAAGGGAGATGATATTTTTCATCTTATGTTATCTACTTATTTTCATAAAAAGCATTTGGACAGTCTGTCCAAAGAATGAATAAGATGAAATAAATAAAACGTAAATTTCAAGATAAATAATAAATAAATTGAAAGAAGCAAGTATGCTATTTCTTACTAAGGCATCTCTGTGTTTTGATATAAATTCTTCTGGAGTTTGAGCCCAGGCTGGAAGTTGCACATCATTGACTTCTTTATTGGAGACCTGGAGTTTCCCAAGATCAAATCCTGACAAAAAGTGAACATTATATGGAGATTAAGGGCAAAATTACTTACAATTATGTTGCCAAATTGGCGGTGGTAAAGTTCATACATTTTAAAACTTATGTACAATTTCATAATTATATAATCCCAAGTTTTATGAAACCGTTTTTTTTTTTTTAACAACCAGCCCCCCAACCCCCCTGCCCCAAAAAAGTTATCTTTATATACTACTTCAAAATCATTTCTAACTTGACCTAAGATATAATTTTTCTATCGTTTAAGAGATATTAACATGACAGATCTCATACCATTAGAATTCACCAAGAATTCCGGCAGGTAAAAAAATTCAGGTATCAATTCCTTGACGTCATTGGGGTTTTCCATCAGTGTCCTCCAGGCTCCAGGAACACTGTGGAACTGCCTGTCACTGACATCAAACCTGCCACTCTGGAGGTCGATGTGGAGAGTGGTGAATGGTTCCAGCCTCACCAGATAATGCATCACAGCTGCAGCACTGGAGTAATGGGTGCCATAGTGGAATTTCTCAATGGTGCCAGAGGGGTCTTCAAAGTGCTCGTATCTGAGGTAGATAGTAATGTATTTTTTGTTTTTGATATAAGTTTGATTTTGAAAAAGGCTGAAATTTGCTGGTATTATTGAAAACATTCATTTCATTTCGAAGCCACAAACAATTATACTATCTCCATGCCATGTATAAAGACACATCTTTAAAAGTTGTTGTATAAAATCATAAATTAGCCAAATATTTGGCAATTTAAACAGCAGAAAATAGTAAAAAAAAACATCTTAACAAAATAAAAAAAAATTCTTTACACAAAATTCTGTTTGAAAAACCTAAACCACAAACACTATCTCAACATAATGTACAAAGACACAATTCTTTAATAATAGTTAAACAAAATCATAAATATCTGAAATATTTAAAAATTACTAGACCATACTTTTCTATGACCTCTGCCTCATTTTTAGGATTCTGTATCCCAATTGGCTTGGTGAGATCTCTATAAATATTGGGGTCAGTAAGGTCCAGGTTTTCTGATGTGTAGTCTTTTAATATCCAAGGGAACTACACAGAATACAAATAAAAATAAACTTGAAATTAGAATTACCAAAAATAATGAGGATGTGCTCAAACTTGATCATAGAAAGTGACACCTTGTAGCAGCCTTCACAGCTTGTTGATAGCCTGTGGTGTTTATGTTTACATTACATTTATACATTTGTTTATTACTCCATTTCTTATGAATTTCAATTGGCATTGTTCATAATCACCATTATATATATATTATATATATATAAATTTGTTACACTACCGTACATAATTTTGTAAAAGTGCACCCAAATATCCAAATCTTTTTATCAAATATCTCAATCCTGTCTCCACTTACAACGGGATACTGATTCAAGTCGTTGTATGTTCTGCCTGCTATGGTATTCAGCTGCATAAGGTAATCAAAATTGGAGATTTCTCTGTGCACCCATTTCTGGAAAAGATTTTACAGGAAACAAATATTTACTACAATAAAAACACTCAAATTGCTCACACAAAAAAAGTATATATATAAATAGAGTAAAGTTACTCCAATTATGCTTTTATAATATATATATTTATAAATATAATATAAGAAAACATTTCACATAAAAACACAATCAGAATATTCAATGAGTTTGGCTTTTTTAAATTTAATCTAAGGTGTGGGTGCATTAGGTATTTTTTGACTGACAGAATTGGAACATCATTACCCAAGTTAATTGCTTTATTTTTTATTAATTAAAATAATATAATATAAGTAATGAATTATTTTATTTACATCTGTAATTCAGTGTCTCACCTGTGTAAGTCCTGATGCTTTCAGAAGCTCAGCTGGAGACCGAGAGACTTTGTAGATCAAATTAGGAGGTCTGGCACTCACAACTCGACTGAAAACTTTGTTTCTCACCTGAAATTAAAAGATTGAAAGATAGGAAAACTTATCATTAGGCTTTTGAGTTGGTATGACTTGATATGCTGTGAGAAGACTTCTACCCTTTGAAATTTCCAATACTGAGTAAAGTCTATTCACCAATTAATTTTCCATATAACAGTTTTATCATGAACTTAGTTTTAGTCTTTATTAAAATTTCCTCTGGATGTGCTTAAATCTATTTTTGACACATTAGAGTAATGTGGTCTGCTTACCTTCTGTTGGAAGTTCAGAAAGTAATTTGTTTGATCAACTAAAAAGATCTCTAAGGCACTTCTTCTGAGATTGTACCTCCTAAAGTGGATTTCTCTGAGCTGCACTAGTGAGAGTTTGAAGTCTTCCCCAGTCCCTGAAATGAGATGTGCCAAAAAATTTACTCATTCCTGAGAACGAAAAACAGCAACTAAGCAATGCATGATTCCTGCAAAATTTCAGTAGTAGGCACACAGTTATCACCAATATCTCTGTCAATTTTTTTATATGGTTTCAGTATGATACATGATCATTGTTTCTTTTTTTTTTGTTTGTTTGTTTGTTTTAACAATTTTTTTAATACTACTTCATATGTTTTTGTTTACAACAACACATTGCACCCACCTTCTTCCTTATTTGGCCGACAGTCAAAAAAATACAAGAAACTGGAAGTTAGCTCAAGCCTGCCAGGGATAACATCCACTAAAGTTATAAGTTCACAGTTCTCTGAAAATATCAGCTTTTCCTTCCCTGTCAGTTCCTCAGTAGCTCCCTCACTGTAAGCAGGATTAGAAACATACATAAAGTAAACAAATTTTAACCGATTTATGATCAAACAAATGATCACATCAGTGAGACATTTGTGTAAATATAACAAAATGTCATATTTCTCTGTGCTGATCCTCAAGTGTAAAAATACCATAATTTTTTTCATATCTCAAATAAAGTGGAATCTATTCACTGACAAAGACAAAGTAATCAAAGACAAAAAGGTTCACCATTATTTCACTTATAAGGCACGAAGTGTCTTGGCTATGCTACTTGGTAGGAATGATGATTCTCCATACCTTATCTCCCAGTCTGTCCTCCACTTACAACAACAACTACACTTACCTGGCAGAACTGATGATCCTCAATTCCTCATCTCCCAGTCTGTCCTCTCCCATCTTATCCTGAGACACCCTCACTTACCTGGCAGAACTGATGATCCTCCACTCCTCATCTCCCAGTCTGTCCTCTCCCATCTTATCCTGAGACACCTTCACTTACCTGGCAGAACTGATGATCCTCCACTCCTCATCTCCCAGTCTGTCCTCTCCCATCTTATCATGGGACACCTTCACTTACCTGGCAGAATTAATGATCCTCCACTCCTCATCTCCCAGTCTGTCATCTCCCATCTTATCCTGAGACACCTTCACTTACCTGGCAGAACTGATGATCCTCCATTCCTCATCTCCCTGTCTGTCATCTCCTATTTTATCCTGAGAATCCTTCACTTACCTGATGATCCTCCATTCCTCATCTCCAAGTCTGTCATCTCCTATTTTATCCTGAGACACCTTCACTTACCTGGCAGAACTGATGATCCTCCATTCCTCGTCTCCCAGTCTGTCATCTCCTATTTTATCCTGAGACACCTTCACTTACCTGGCAGAACTGATGATCCTCCATTCCTCGTCTCCCAGTCTGTCATCTCCTATTTTATCCTGAGACACCTTCACTTCCTTCAGCACATCAAGGGGTGTGTCTGAGTGGGGCTCCAGTGCCTGCTGCTGAAGATCTGGACCTGTCCAAACAATGAACCTCATGTGATTTAGAAAAAACCCTTTGCTGCTTACCTTTTCAAAATGATCAACAGAATCTATGGCCAAAAATTTCCTTTTTGTATCAACTCTTCAATATGCATGAGAACTTTTCAGGTTGATTGTTACTACTAATGACTTTTGCAACATTTTTTCTCCCACAGGTTCTCAATACCTTCAGGAAAACAAAGTTATTATTAAACCAAGCTCTAATTTAAGTAAATATAAACTTTAAGCACTTTTATACTTCTGCAGATGACCTTTCCGATCATCCCTCAAAATTGTAAAATATCATTTAGGTCTGGCACAAACAATAGCAGCCTTACTCAGCCAAATATCAATCAACCAATATATATCGTATTTTTCATGGTCGCCTTATGAATCTCACACCAGATGTGGCAGAGGAAGCATAAAATTCTTTGTGATGGGAATTTTTATTATGTGAGCATTCTCACCCAAGTTATCCCTAGCTCTGCTGGCCTCTGTGTGCAAATCAAAGTTGTAGTTCTGGATCAGTTTTGGACGCATTCTGGAGAAATTTTCATGGTTTGAAAGTTTCCAGTGTACATCTGGTATGTCTCTGTAAAAGGCGAAGCATCAATTAGCAATAAAATTTTCAACTTGGCAAATGAAATAAAGATACAGATTTTAGAATACCACTGTGATCCAACTGACTTTTTTAAAAACACCTGTTCCAAGTAGAAGTGAACAATAACACATCATGAGAAAGAAGTAATCACAAAAATATGTCTTTCCTCTATAGTGTATATAGCACATACTATGTGGTTGAACTCACTTTTCTGACCATGCACCTCTTTCTCCCATAAAGAAGTTCTTGGTAGAGCGCCACTGCCGAAGAACAGACGAGTGCTGGTTGTGCATCTGTGTCATAATGTTATTGTATCGGTTTGTTTCCTGCTTGCCTCTGTTTCTAAAGGGCTCAAGAATCTCTTTCTGATATACAAAATGAAGAAAGGATTAGTTAATTCATAATCCTTGGTAAACCAACTCAATACATTCAAGCTGCACATTATTTTTACTATGAAAACAATTTTATTCTATTATTTTATTTATTCATCACAAAAAAAAAAACTTTTTTTTTTGGGGGGGGGGGGGGGGGTTGGGGGGCTAAGCAATCTTACACTATAGACATTACATATTAAATATCCATGTATGCCAGACCAAAAGAGAAATGCTGTTCTTACCTCAAAACTAAGTTTGCTTTCTCCTCTTTCCCTGTTCCTCTTGTGGATCCCCACCATCATCTCCTCATGGCAATTCCTCAGGTAATCTGTGATTGTTTTCTTCCCTTCTTCAAATGTCTGACTGGTGAATTTCTTTCTGCCTTGAGTAACCTAGTAGTTTTGAATTGGTGCCAATTAAATCATGAAGGATAACTAGTTCCTGGAGCCTTTTAAAAAGACTGACTTCATTATGCATCATCCCTGACATACCTCACTGATTACTGCAGTATACAAACTGATTTCTCGAAAGAAACACATCCAAAAAATTAGGGATGCACTAACCTCTAGACTTATGTTTGAAAAATTTACACTGCCTGCTTTTCTTTAGGAATATGATTTTTTTACCACTCTAGCAATGTATGTCTTCCATTCTTCTGTCTGTGCATAAAGTTTGAAGTCATCGAAGAAGCTGGGTCTGCTGGTGATGGGGCAGTTTGGGAGATATAACCTCACGTCCAGTAAAGTGGGACATTTCATCAGTAAAGCTTTTAACACTGGCAACATGAAGGAGTACTGGTCAGTATTGTCTGATGGAAGAAAAGAAATCTTTAGTCAGATTTGACGAGATGGTACAATTTGAATACAATTCCTAATTATTATTAACTGTATTTTTAACATTTACTAAGAAGAAAAACTAAACTAGGTGTGCATAATCTCATTGTTATTTAACACATAAAACTTGAGTCATGGCCAAAAGGTAAATATTTTAGCAGTCCCTATAAAAAGCCATTCTTTGCAGAACTATCAATTTAATACATCCACTACCACTGAGGGGGGGGGGGGTGCAAGAGTAAAAATTGTTTGCCTCATTTCTCTTGTAAAATAATAACAATAGTGAGAATTGTTCTGTAATGGGTATGGCACAGGGACAAAAAATTACTGGGCTTTGTCTGTTTCCACTGTTAAACTTTTTTCATACTGGAGGGACTAGTGGGAAAAGTGGTTGCCCTAAGGGGAGGGGCAATTAACCCACAGTGCACCCCCCCCCCCAGATCTGCCACCATATTGACAAACCAAAAATGTCCCACCTGTTATGGCCTGCTCAATGACATCATTGACAGACCCCATGAGGTAGAGAGCCTCCTCTTCAGTCTTAACTGTTCTTGAATGGAGGATAGTGTGCAGACGAGCAGCAGCTATGGCACAAAACTATAAAGGAACATAGACAAAAAATACATGAAACAGCTGCCAATGGTAACTTATCCAATTAAATGTTAACAGCATTTCTAGTTCAGTGTGTGTGTGTGTGTGTGTGTGTGTTTGTGCACGCACGCGCGTGCATGTAGATGTGTGTAAATGACAAATTTACAAGTATAATTACATTAGGACTACTTATGCCAACTTAAAGAAGCAGGTGTCAAGTTTAGAGAAAAAAAAGCATAGCTGTAATACAATAAAATTTAGTCCCACATAATATTCACCTCTACACTGTCAGTGGCACAGAAAGCCAGTAAGATATCAAGTCCTATGTGACTCATCTCTGTCCATTCCATCGCCTCATCCCATACATTGAGAACATCAAACATGGCTGTCACCGATTCTATAATCTAGAATTACAAAAGCAGTAAGGGTAATTTCTCAAAAAATTTGAATACAAAGCAATTACAATTTCTTCCAAAACAATATTATGCAGGTAAAAAAATGTTCAATTCTAAAGTTGCATTCACGTCTAGAAGTATATGTTCTGTTGGTAATTAAAAATAATAAATCTACAAAAAAAATAATAATATATTCCAATATGAAAGGCCCCATTCAGAATAGGGGACTAACAAGTCCGAGGGTCAAATATGGCGACCCACTACAAAGCTTGACATCTAATCCACTAATAGACACTGAACAGATTTCCCGTGGGAAAGTATTCAAGTGGGTCGGCCATATTTGCTAACAGCTTTGAGTACTTCTCACTTCTATTTGTTGCTTCATGTAGTAAATGAAATGAAAGCAAATTACTGTAATTTTATATGTGATATTCCACACATATCTACTTACTGCTTCACTGTAGCCTAACAGTTTGTCAGGAGTCTCTTGCATAAGGAAATGATGCACAATTTTTATTAACTGGGCTGCATTTTCAGTGTAATCAGCCACGGCTTGCCCTGCAAAGAAATCTTATCTTCTTAAAACCACTAAGTACACATTTTACTTTACCTTGTATCCGTGCCATTGAACAACACTAAATGAAAAATCATAATGATTAAACGTACTACCAATGCTCTTGGGATCTGCTCATCACTTATTTTATAATAGTAAGAGTGATGAAACATTCTGTGAATATTTTTTAGAAAACTGTTATAGATAATTCAAAATGGGTAAGTATGACTGATATTTTTTTTCTTTTATATATCAAATAGTAAGAAATATCTGCAGTTACATTTATGTGATATTTCTGACATAATGCTGCTGCATCTTTCATCTTCACGTTATTCTGTCAGTCTTATTATCTGTCATTATTGTTACATGGTATTTTAATGTATTTTTTTTAATGCCTAAAATAGCCCTCATCATTACCAGCATGTAAAAGCTGTGTCCTGCAAGCCTTCAGCATCATCTCTATAAGTTTTCTTTGGATGATTCTAGACTCCATGACCAGCTCACATCTTCTTGCCAGGTATTTGATGGAAGAAAACACCTGGCCTCGAACCTACAAACAAAAATGCTAGAACTATTATGCCATTCCCAAGAATTTCTTCATTTATTGAATTTTAGTTTCAAAAACCAAGAGTTGGACATAGACTTCAGTTACCAGGAAAATAAACATGCTTCATTGAATAAAATTCATTTTTTAGATGTAAATGCAGTAAAATTCCAAAAAATATTAATCACAAAGCACATATACATGTGTTCTATACAATGACACAAAGCAGAAAAATAGGACAAAATAATATCACTATAATACTTTCCACATCACAGATCATAATTATAAATTACAGATAAGGAATGCCATTGTGGTCCACTTATTTCATGACTTGAGATTTCAGATACTATTTTTGAAGCATTAATCTGCAACAGAATATGACAATCTATACAGGTGTCTATATATATATATATATATATAATCAAATATACATGCATCATGTTTAAACTCCCACCTTCCATGCTTCAGAATCTGACCCCTCCACACCTTCCCACAATACACACAACAAGCTGATGAGGACATTCTGCATCAATTCGCTCTCCTTGCTGTGACACGGCTCAACTTCTATGGAGTGCGTCTGCATTTTCTTCTCCACTTTCTCAGGTAGGGTCTCTTCCAGCTCGTCTTGACTGGTTGACATAGACCTGCTAAAGAATCCGCTGATACGACTTCCCGCAGGAGATCTTTTCGGACTAGCAGGGCTCTTTGGGGGAAGTTCAGTGGAGATCTGACTTACGCTGTCCTCGGGGTTGACAGTGGAAGCTTCTGAGGCTAAACTAGCAGTGCTTTCTCTGGCTGATAAATAGCGGTCGCCATTGTAGCCATCAATTGTATCACCACCAGAGAGAGACCTTGAGCGCTCACAACTGGCACCATTATCAAAGTCATTCTCTGCATCCTCAGCAAAGTAATCAGCCATTTTGGAAAACATGGGGCTGCCTGTGCCTATATCAGACACAGATGCCTCTAACTGGCCTTGACAGGCTAGAACAGTACCATTAGAGTCAAGATTTTCAGCTTGGCTATCATTTAAACAAAATTCAACTGGCAAGTTGGAGTCAGACTCCTGCCCTGTTGTAGTGGCGCTGCAGTCATCTATGCCAGAGTCTCTAATTATTGCACTAACGTCATCAGAGAAGCTGCCCATACTCATAATAGTTTTTGGGTGGAGAGTTAGCAAGGTTACCAAGGTCTCCTGCCAGCCCACTTGTTGCACTATTTTCTTAGCAGCTCCCGGACGGTTCATCAACACTGATAACACCTAAAATATATCTGCCATTTAATAAATAATGCATAATTCTTTTATTTAAAAGATAGTACAGGATTTCACATTCACTATATCAATCTTTCAAAATATATGAAATACTTTGCTTAGGGTTTGAAAAAATAAGTCCTGTATAATTATTATGATTAAATTTACTTTAAAGATTGACAAAAAAACTAGTTGCCAATGTTTTTAATAACTTATATTTTCTGATATACTATCTAATATTTGCTGACATAAACAAAAGGGTATTGTTGTGATCTATCTCATACATATTTGACCACTACAGTGAACAGTAGTACACACGTACAGACCTCTCTGCTGGCAGCCAGCTTCATATCTACGTCTCCATGGGGGACTAATTGCAGAACTGACAGTAGTGATGTATAAGTGGCAGGAACATCTGCAGTATATGAATTCATAAATAAATGAATATAATACACCAAAGGAATAAAGTGTTACATGTATAACTGGATTTATTCTGGAAGACTTTTAAAAGATCAGGAAAACAGAAATTCTTGCAAAAAATGGCATGTTGTTTTGCTTTGATGTGAATCCAAACTATTTTATATGGGCACTGTCATTGCCTTTGATGTGATTTGATGCTATTTAATATTTGCACTGTCAACATTGTCAAAAAATTCACATTACATTATTAAATAAATAAATAAACAAGCGAGCAAACAAGCACGTAAATAAGCCAAATTATTATTTTTCTATTTACATAAGAACTATTAAGCTACTAAAAGGTAAAACTGAGCCTGCCTGCTAAAGTGGACTGCTCTAGCAACCCCTGTACCATGGGCAGTGTGATGTCCATCTCCTCCATCTGACTGACCAGCCCAGCATACCCTATATTGTACAGGTGGAGCCGGCCTTTGGATCTTTCATACACCTTGTCAGTTTTGAGCAGGTCACCTATTATCTAAAGTCACAGACAGAGTTCAATTATTACTGCATGAAATGTAAGAAAGATGTGGGTAGGGGGTAGAGGGGATGCATAAGGAAGAGTGAAACAAATCCAAAATGCTAAAAAGTAAAGATATGTAGATATATATTTATATTTTGCATTTGTTTATTTCATAAATATAATAAATGTATTACCATGTTTACTTAATGTTAAGTCTTTAAAAAATTTAACTTCTAAAAAAAAAACATGTTTTTAATTTGCAAAAATCACCCTCATGTTGTATGAAATTTTTACATAGTTCTCATACCCTAACTACTTTCTCTTTGGTTGCAGGTGTGAAATCCTTTTTGGTGAGCAAGGCATACAACAAATCTGCATTTTCTGGCTCAAAGAGAAGCAGGAAAACTTGGGACTGTGCATGATGACATTCCAGCAGGCCTAGCAGCATATCTAGGGCCTCGCCAACCTGAAATATTTCAAACAGTTCACATAAATTTCAAACATGGGGCAAGTTAAAAAGGTGCTTTTATCAGTACTCACACATAAGTCTCACAAAATGCTTAAAATTCATTTCATCAACCACTGATTTGAAAAAATATGAACAATTGTCCACAACACTGTTATACTAGTACAATCAAGCCTACTTACATACCAGTTTCACGTACATGTGTTACAACATTCAATTAATAACTTTCTCTGCACAGTTTTCTTTCATATGTTGATGAACCATAAATATGCCACCTAACCACAATGAAAAATACCTAAAAAACATGTTTCTTAAAAATCCACAAATCACCTTCACATAACAGAATAAATCTTTGTTCCTAGAGAGTTACAGTCTTACCAGTACTTCATCTTTAACGGATGTAATAAAGTTGATGATGCATGTCATTTCTTTGTGACTGATGTCTTTCTGGACAAAGTAGTGGATGAGTCTGAAGAATGCCACTCTAATGGTCTTGGCATCTGCTGGAAGTAATTGGCACTCTGAACTGGAGCTGAAATAAGAAAATGTGCAATTGACCAAGAGCATAAACAACATGTGATAATATGTAAAGAAATATAACAAGCTTAAAATAATGACAATACAGCAAGCTTAACAAAATAAGATATTTCATGGTTCATGTGAGCTGAAGTTTTTTAGTGACCTCATGATTTAAAAAATCTTTCACAGAATCAAATCCAGTTTTTGAAAAAGATTCACAGTTATCCACAGATTACTGTGACTGATTTCTTGAAATGATCTCTATTTCACTTTTTTGGTAAATAAAAGGAATGTGACTCCAAGGATATAATCATTATCATATATCGTGATATAATCCACAAATGCAACATTATTAATTATTTCAAATATTTATAATGTATTTATTTAAATTTGAGTATTTATTCTCAAGCATGCTTTCAGGATCAACAGAAGTGATGCTCTTACCACCTTAATTTATACAAAATTAGCATATAGCTTTAGCTTTAGTTGTTATAACTTTGATATTGTACACGATCACCACAGCAGTGCATACAATAAATTCTTTTATATAATTGTACCAAGATATACCAAAGTGATAAAATATTTAACAGATGCCTCACTTGTAGTATATATTTATAGCGTCCCACATGTACTGGGCTCCATGCTTCTTCCGGAAGTATCTTATATAATTGTATTATATATCATATATGATAAAATACTAAGACACCACACCTGTAGTATGTCCTGATGGTGTCCAACATGTACTGGGCTCCATACTTCTTCCTGAAGTATCTCTTGTCTTCTTTCATGATAGTGGACAGATATTGCACATGACCTGTACAATAAGAATAGTTATAGACAGATGTGTAAATAAAATAAAACATTCATTCTTCTTTTGAATTATAAGTATGTTTATCAGAGGGTAGAATATTAAACAGGTACGATATGTAAGATTATCATATCAGATTATTAATGTATTTCAGGACTTCTAAGGCATAAAAAAGCTTATGCTGCATAAAGCTATTTCATTTACAGAGATAGATTTGTTTATGAGCACTTCCATTGGACAATACTAAAGTGTTAGTCCATTCTTCAATCTCTAACCCATTATCTTTTAAACTGTTTTAAAAAGAAACATAATGTAAGTTCAGTGAAATAAGTTTTAAATTGTGTCTTGCTGGTAAAGATGGTAACAAAAATCAATAGTTAATTGGCATCATGCCTTGCAGCAAAAAACATGTTTAGTTTCTTCAGAATAGTCTTTACAATATTGGTTCAGTGAAACAGGTTTTTTTGTTGTCTCCTGTACAAAGACGGTAAATAAAGTAAATAGTTTCTAAAGAAATCATACTCTGCAGGTAAAAACACGTTTACATAGTTTCTTTGAGAGTGATTTTTCATATTTTACCAAATAATGGTTCCTTAGCCAACATACCACTACTACTTACCTATCCTGACTTGAAACTCGCAATGGCTCCATATTCTGAAGTCAAACAGCACATACTGGTAGAGCTGGTGGAGTAACTGTTCGTTGGACGAGGCAACGCATTCTGTCAGCAGCTGAACAGACATCAGCACTCGCACATCTATCACAGCAACTGGAACCTGCAAACAAACATTGAATGATAACTTAAATTTTTAAACTGTCTCATTTCTTCAAGAAGTTTACTTGTTCAAGATTTATTAAGTATTTGTGAAATGTCTTGTTGTCAAATCCTTTAGTTATTTACATGCCTTTTTGCACCCCCACCCCCATTAGCAAGCCAAGAGATAAGCAGGTTATAATCCAAATTGAATTATATGCTACAAGTTACAGGTACAAACATGTCTTCTAGAAAACTTGTGACTTAAATCAATAACATAGCAGTATATTATATATATTAATCATATTTCAATGTATTACCTTTTGTAATAGGGCCCCTATCACAGCCATGCCATTAGTCTGGATCATATTCTCCTGGTTCACCCTGTTGTTCTGCAGCATGTTCCGAACCAAACCAAGAAAACCAGCAACATAGTTCTTCTCTAGATGACTATCTGCATATTGTAAAAAATTGTTTTGCATTTTTAGCAATGGGCTTTTTTATTGATAAGGGATATAGAAATTCTGAAAATAATGAACATCTCTATCTTTTTGGCATGATTTCAAATTTACATTGTCTTAGACCCCATTCCCAGAGATTAGATCGATCCAACTAGATAGACCTAACTCCCTGGGGGTTCACGCTAAATAGCTGTCAGCCGGGCGGGCATGAAAGTTAATTACCCCTTACAGCTTGTAGTGGGCGGGACGGACATTTAAGTCGGATTATCTGACGGTAATCTAGTGAGACTCCCCACGGGGATAGATCGATCTAAAATCTCTGGGAATGCGCCCTTATAGTCCAATTTATCCAGGTTTAAGAATAATAAGTGATACATGTTAGGTACCTTTTTAATTTTTTTCTTTACCAGATTTTACCAAGTACATAAAACCCAGTTTAAGGAAAATCAAAAAAAAATTATAACATGTGGGGTAGGGTCACCAAAACTGAACTAAACAGTGTCCCTATAGTCAAATCCATTAGAAACGAAACAAAAAATTAAAATATCTGTCCATGTTTTTCAATAACTTACCAGCATATGTGCTATCAGGCAATACCACCCAGTCTCCAGCCATCTCATCTGGTGGACTGAGCATGTCATTGAGGACTGGGGACACTGGGATAGAGATCGAGGCTTCATTGGCCTGCTCCAACAAAGGAAACAACACCTGGATACCACCAATGCAGTTGATAACATCCTAGAATATATAGTCATACATTATTACAGTAATATATATAGTAACATATTGACTGTACATTTCACACTGTATCTTATTTTTCAAAAGTTCCATTTGTATTATATCAATTTAGTACTTGTTCAATAAAAAAATCATGTTTAGCCATCTTCCTCCATTTCTCCATAATTTCACTTTCTCTCTTTATTTATTTCCGTAATTCATGTTGTACTGAACACATCTTTTTTATTAAAACACCTTTTTAAATTTATTAAACAGTGACATATGGTGTTTTACCTTGACATCACAAGTGACACAATGATGTCCTGTCAGTCTTCCATGGTTTAATTTAGGGGACAAATCTATACAGATGTTACCCTGGCAGGCCTACAACAATAGAATATGCCATTTCAATCACATATCACACACCTGCTACCACTAAAATATAACTAAGAGTATCTTATTCCCTAACCAACAAATAACACATTACTGTCAAAATTTTACTGTCTTTTTAAATGAACAGCACACAATAAGCACAAGACCCTTTACTTATACTGGTATAGAAAATGTCATTAATTTTTTTCCTTAATTACCAAAGTATAACAATATATAACCCATTCACAGGATCCCATTTCTGAGTTTGACATTTTTTTAAAAGTTTTTAGTTTTTAAGTCACTCTTGTAACAATTAAGGAGAGAGAGGCTAGTGAACCTCAATCACAACGTAAAGAGAAATCTAGAACTCAAAAAAAGGTTTGTAGATTGTGTTTTTATCAACAGATTTTGATAGGGTATATCTTGGTGACAAAGGCAAATCTATTAAAATTTTTGGTAAAGATCAATTTTTGTTATATAATATTCTTTAAATGTTTTACCTTGGCATTATAATACAGCACCAGTTTTCCAGCTAAGTCTGCTATCTCTGAGTCTTCATGCTTCATGAAGGTGAGCAGAGCATTTGGACCTGAAAACATGGAACAGAGCATTGATAATTAATGTAGTGGCTCTTTGCTAACAGAGGATAACATATGAGAGAGAGAGAGAGAGAGAGAGAGAGAGAGAGAGAGAGAGAGAGAGAGAGAGAGAGAGAGAGAGAGAGAGAGAGAGAGAGANTATGATGTATACTGATATGGTTTGATAGGATATAATATGGTGTGACATAGTGTGGTTTGGTACAGCACAGTATGGTATGGTTTTTTGTTTCATGAGGTAAGTCATACCATGATCTGAACAATTTATATCATACACCTGAAACCTCATATTAAGCATGCTGACCCCTAGATCCAAACCAAGAGGTTCATAATTTTCTTGAAATAAATTAATGTAAATAAACTCTACTGAAAATATACTGAAAATCCAACTTTATTTTCAAATACACAACTTAAAACATAATTCAGGATTAATACATGTATTTCAATTCTAACTTTTCTCGCATCACCAACCATGCACATGATTTAACACTTTATAATAATGAAGACATTATAAATATTGAAATATAATAAAAACATGGGTACCTGTGTACCAGCTCTTATACTATTTGCATTGGACTCCTCCTCTTTATGAAACAACCCCTCTAGAGACATTCTGAGCTTGGACTTGTTCACTCTCGGTTCAGGAACAGGTACGTCTACCACATGGCTGTGCAAGCCACGAGATCCAATTCTGCAACACGTCAGTGGCTGATTCAGAAGAGAAAGAATGAATATTTTTAATAACCTGGTGAAGTATGTTATTCACTGCTTCTTGTATTTAGATGGTAAAAAAATGTCTCTCAAATGACTCAATGTGTTTTTACCTATGAGACCTGACTCATCATCAAAAGACCCTTTGATGCAGGGTCAAAATGATATGTCATCCCTTATAGACAAAAACATATTTAATGTCCATAGATTCAGATTTTTTAACCATTTCAATAACCAAAATGCAAAAGCCAAAAAGTTTAAAAATCATCTGAAGTTAAATTAAGTTCAACTTTCTCCTGCCTTCATTTGGTCCTTAAGGTGTCTCACAAGTAAACTGAGAGCAGTCCCATTAGGTATTAACAGTTAAATAAAATCTCTAGATTCTACTTTGTAAAGAAATAGAACTTGAGGCAAGTATTTGTAATCACCTCAGTGAGAGAAGGGAATTTCATCTGAGTCACCATCTTCTGTTGGCCATCAATGTAAACAATCAGCTGGCTCTGGCCAAATGGCTTCTTGGCATTAATATACACAATATCTATACTGTGCTGTGAATATAAAAAAATGGATATCTTTATTAAATCACAGTCTCCTTATTACAGTGTATGTCTGAAGTTTGCATATGATAATAAGCATATGAGTTAAAATAATAAGATAACTAATCAAAATAATAAGATAACTAATCAACTAGCACAATTAATTCAGTAAGTTTTAAGTGTCTGTTTCAAAGAAAGCTGGATTTGATGACTTCTGAAAACCATATGAAGCAAATGTTTAAAATAAGTGTTCACCTTTAACAATACGCATTAATCTAAGATTTTTTGAAACCAGATAATTTAAAAACTGGTCAAAACAACTTTAGCTAGCTGATAACTTAAGCTAAACAAAAACTGCCTTCCTTGTAAAACTCAATCCTTGTGACAAAACATCTTAACAATAATACTACTACCTACCCACTCTGTGTCTTGTATTGGACTCTCCTCAAGAGATATAGTGAGGTATTCTTTAGCTGTAGAGACTGCCACAACCAACACTCCATCATGAGTTAAGAAGGCTTCAAATCCACTGCCAGCAGTGGTATGAAAACTGGAAATAGGAGATCATGAGGTAATAAGTTTTCTTTATGTACTAAACAAAAATAAATAACAAAAGAATAAAAATAAAAAAACAATAGTAAGAATAATACCAAAAAAATTATTTAAAACAGTACATGACAGTACAACAGTACAATCACGACCTTTGCATTTATTTAAAAGTTACTCTGGTAAAAGAGATCATCATTATATCTTAAACACAAGTTATATATCACTATTATAATTGTAATTTGTTGACTCACCTGTATAACTGATACCTGCAGTTACGGACTTTTTCAAACACAGAAGCTAGGCACAACCAGGCATGGAATGCAAAACAATGACCAGGCCATTTACGGATACCAGGAAAAGAAATGCCCTGAAAACAATTACATATTTATGAAAGTTAACAATAACAAATGGACAGTGCTGAGCAATGACCTCCAAAAAGAATGAAAATAATTATAAATAAATTAATTTATTTTTGTAAAAAATAAGGAAAGCCAGATTCAAGCAAAATTGTAATAACTTATACTTACTGCATCATCTCTACCTCTCATCTAATGTTTTCTACTTACTGCATCATTTCTACTTCTTATCTAATGTATTCTACTCACTGCATCAGGATGTTGAAGATCAAAATAATGCTGTGCATTTTCTCTTCCCTCCTTCTTGGCCATGGAGGAGAGGGCATGCATTAACTGCATCCGGGGCTCATGCTGAAGTAAAATTGTAGAAAAATGATGACATTTTGCTGGATAGTTTTCTTCACCTACTTTTTTTTCAAATGAACTGCATTAACCCTAAAAGAAAGCTCTGATTTCTGCGACCTTAAATAATAGTTCTTAAATTCAAAGTCCCCCTTAGCTTATGAAAGGAAGCATTTCAGTTTTTATTTATTTATTTTTTATTTGAGTGTGTGGATTTAAATAAACTTGTTTTAATAATTTCACATATTAAGTCTCACAGTACTTACTCGGTAACCCACTTCCTCCTCCTTAAACAAACTCATTAACTGTTTGAGATCAGCAGCTGATATTGAATGGCTCCCAAGCTTTTCCAACAGTCCAACTAGGCATGCTAGCAGTAAATAGAAAAAGCATATAAACTATGGTGAAATAGGATTTCTTTGATTGTCTCTTGTGTAAAGACAATAACAAAAGTAAAGCATCATTTTCTCAAGATGAGATCAATTTCCTTTTACCATATAAAATATTTCTTAATATGATTGTGTAAACCCATTCAATATCACTATTGAACCAAAGGTTGTAAACACAGTAAAATAGAAAACTGCCCCACGATAAACCATTCCCTGGGCCCAGTCTTAAATAAACATGAAAAAAAGTGTCTCAGCCCCTGTCCTCTATGTCACAATAAATATCTATAATTTACAATAAATGTCTGGAGTATGTGTGTATGTGTATGCATTGTGTATTAACACATGCATAATATTTCTACGTTTGAGTCACAATTTTTATTCAGTGAAGAACTCATACCCTTATACATACAGGTGGAGCAGTTCTGGGGACCCATAAATAATTCATATGTGGTATTTGTATTTTTAGGAGCATAAAAAATTTATTATCTGAGATCACCACAAAGTAAAGTGGATAAACTAAGCCAAATTTTTTTCAGAGAAAACAAGGCAAACAAAATGAAAAAGGCTACAATTATATCCCAATGCCCTCAATAAATGAGATCACCAGGCTTTAAAATGTATACCTGGATTTTTATGGATATTTTCAACCCTGAAACCATCTCACCTCCCTGGGAGCATACCACCCAAGCAGCAGTGAAACTTGGAATTAATCACAAACAATATGACCAGCACTACCATGATCAGGTCTTTCCCCTCTGCCTCGTCTCTCTCTCTCTCTCTCTCTCTCTCTCTCTCTCTCTCTCACACACACACACACACACACACACACACACACACACACACACACACACACACACACACACACACACACACACACACACACACACACACCTTATATATAAAGAAAATGTCATAAAATTACCAAATGTTTCAGCATCCATCTGCTTTTCTTGCCTCAACACCTGAAGGACTGCTCCCACCATCCCTTCCCTACAACACTGCCTCTTGTTGTGTACTCCAGTGGAGCAAAGAGCTGTCAGACTGTCCGCCAGCCACTTCTGGAGTTCATGGCACTGTATGTCAGGCAGCCAGATCAGCAGCTTCAGCAACAGTTGGGGATTCTTGATGGTTTGGTGGTGTGATGCTTCAAAATGACCTTCTACTACCTAAAAATGGGCAGATAGTGGCATCCGTATATTATGTCCATTTTCACATCTCAAGTCTGCCCAATTTACATAAATCCTTTGTGAAATTAAAAATATTAAAAATATTTTGTAATTGAAAATTTGAAAAACATCTTTTTAAAGCTGAATATTATGCACTCAGGCGAAATATAACATTTCAAAAGGTCAATAAATATCATTTACCAGGTCCAACAAAGCCAGCAAGAGTTCCTTGGAAGGCTGCCCTAGGTGTTTCAGTGCTTCAATAAACTTTGGAAACCCTACATCCTCCAGAAACCTCTCCTAAACAGGGTAGAGGGAAAGACAAAGGTCATATAGAATGAATAAATAGATAGCACATGGACGCAAACACACACACACACATGCACGCACACACACACGCACGCACACACACACACACACGTGCATGCACACACAAACACACACAAACAAACACATGCACAGACACTCACACACAGACATACACATGCTAATGTTTAATGTGGACAGTATTCTCCCAGAAGATATATCATACCCACCTTTGCCATGCCACACCCTGCCATTATGCCACTGACTATGTGAAGTATTGCAATAGCCAGTTTATGTGCCTCACCACCAAACAGCTGAAATTATAACATATCTTAGCTCAATCTATTATAAATATACACAAAATAAATAAATAAAATTTAAAAAAAGAAAAAAAAAATTATAAATCTGATTCACTTTCAGGTTAAATGAGACTCCATACCAACAGTTTCAGGGAGTAATTTCCAGACATCCTGTTTCTCTTACCTGGGTGTTATTCAGATATTCTATCAGCTTGTCAAATATCCCAACACTGACAAATGTCACCTGCAGGGCTGGCTTGTCTCTGCAGTCTAACATTGCTGGAAGTTCATCTAGATGGAAAATTTTATATTCGGCCAGTTATTGAAAGTTAATGCAGCACATAGTGCCATGGTTAAACACAGAAATCCTTCTCTTTTTTGTTAAAAAATTCAAACAGTCAGAGTTCAAACTACTGAAATATTATATTTGACCAGTTATCAGAAGTTAATACAGCATTGCCAAGGTTAAAACTACAGATAAGATACTTTGTACATAGATACATGTCCTAGAAACCATTACAACTACACAAAAGTGACATGTTGAGAATCATACATTATAAATTTTATACTTTTAATTAGTAAATATCATAAAAAAGTCCCAACAAAGGATGTATCCTTCAATATAAACTACATATGTATTCCACCATCTATATACAATGGGGCATAGACATCAAGTTTTATTCTTATTTAATAGTATGGCTCTCACTATACAAATTGCTATGGGTCACTCACTCAGAATTTTAAAGTGCATCTGGACCTGCTTTTTATATTCTATTTCTGTGTGGTTTTTAAAGAGGATTCCCAGCAACCCTTCAAGGACTGCACTCACTTCTATCTGCCTCTGCAAATATCAATTTATGCCTATTATTTACAGCAAGGAGTACAATCACACAAAAACTTTCCTACCTAAAAAGATGACAATACAGTGTGGATACAAAATACAATGGTTTACAATTACATCTACCTAATTAAACGTTTCCCTATCAATTGCTCCAAATAGCAAAAAGCTTCAAACAAAATAAAAAAAAATAATATTACCCCTTTCTCTTCCTAAAAGAGGAGCTACGAAATGCATTTTATTCATCTTAACAAATCTAACAACCCTGACGAGTATGACATGAAAAAGCAACTCAGTATAAACATCCATGATTTAGTTCACAAACCTTGTCTGGGCTGGCACAGTGTAATACATGGACCATCCTCACGAAGCATTTGGACGCCACCGTCTGCACATCTCCACCACTTTGTTCTTCAGCTGATGTTAACAAGCTGGAGGCAAGGACTTGCAGCAGAATGTCCAGAGTTGCCGGACAAATCACTTTGAGTGCATTGGCCTATAGGGTCCAGAAAACAGTTGCAAAAATTTAAGATAACTCACTGGGTAAGAATATCATACTTCAGTGGCAAAGGGTTGGTTTGTGTATGTGTTTAAAGTATTTAGATGACTGGTTTTGGTGTTGAATATAGAACAGTTACTAGTATATAGAGATGATACCAAATGTGAGCAAACTGCTGTTCTAGAGTTGTGAAATGTAGATAACACTCTAAGATCGCATTCACAACAAGTTGAGCCAGGCTTTACAAATCCTGGGGACTAAATATGGCGGTCGTACATGAAAGAAAAACCACCTAATCTTTTAATAGTCTCTCCGCCTCTCACACGCCTCCCCACACGTCGTCCCTGCGGGGGGACAGTCATTAAATCTCGGCTCCATTGGGACAACACATGGGGAGGCGTGAGAGGCGGAGAGACTATTAAAAGATTAGGCGGTTTTTCTTTCATGTACGTCCACCATATTTAGTCCCCAGGATTTGTAAAGCCTGGCTCAACTCGTTGTGAATGCGATCTAATAAAATGTTTTTTTATTTATTTTCAGCACATTTCATAATTTTTTGTACATCATCACTTGTGAAAAAAAAAACATCCAACTCGAAATTATACTTCTGCCCAAAGACTAAGTGAAGTTAACCATTCTTATTTTTCCATTTCTATAAAGAAATTCACAAGCCAGCACATCCAGAAATGACTAATCCAAATGAACCATAACAAAAAGGACATGTGTCACATACCTGTCCTCCTGACATAACACTACCAAATAAATGTAGCATTCTGACTTGAACTGAAATATCCAACTTCACCAACTGGAAGCACTCTGAAACAAATCTCATATATACAAACCATCTTTGTATATATTTATGATTAATATCTAGCACCTAACTGCTGCACCTAGCAGTAAAATACAAACAACATGACTTTTTATGCTAAAGTTAGGAGATGATAGATGTCTTGACAAGGATATAAACACTTCCAACTGCATATATAATTTGTCAGCACTTACAAAATTGAACTGAATATGTGTATGAGGTTAAGTAGAATAGTCACCTTAAAATTTGAATCTCATTTAAAAAATCAAAACAAAAGATGCCATCACAAGTTATTCCACTTTAACTATCTAAAAAAAAGTATAAAAAACTTCAAGTCCACTTACCATACAAAAATGGAACAATTTCATCATGAAGCAGAGCAGGAAGGAAAAGAAGGGTGGATTTGTCCACTTTCCACCTGTAATATTCAAGCATAGTTGAAATATATAAGCATGAGATGAAAATATCCAGTCATACATTTCAGTACTTAAAAAGTCTATCAAAGATACAAATAAATGCACCATTACTGTACATTACTGTACATCAAATACTTATCTCCCCTAAGCAAACTTTTAATATTCTATATTACAATTTGAATTGATCTTACTGAATATATGATATTATGAAAGAACCGAGTATATGCTATTTCAATACTAAACCCCTAATTTATAACATAATTTGCATAAAATTTACTGAATATAACACATGAAAAAAATGAACTATGCAATTGGCAAAACCTGGAAATTAAAATTCCACAAAACTAATTTGAAATGATTAGTAGTTTACTGACCACAATGGTGGCTCCAAAGGGCCACATGAAACATGCCCCACTCCTCCCTCCCTTTCCCTGTGTTCTCTGAAATACATGCAATCATGATACGAAACAGAAATAATCTATGTGACATTTTGCCCAACTTTTGCACTTTGTCCAAGTCCCTAATGTGAGTAGTTCATGTTTATATCTTACTTCCTCAGTCTCCTCCTCCAGACAAAATAAGGATCATACAGGCACTCTAACAAATGCAGAACATGGTGCACCAGGAGAAGTAATCCACACTTCTCATCATCAGCAGGGCTCTCACACAGCTGAAGAGTTTGAAAATAAAATCATTATTATTATTTACATTATGATAGTAATAATAAAAATAATAATAGTAATTAACTAAGCTCTAAATGCTACAAATGCTATGTTTGCAGGACTTCTGTACTAAAGCTAATACAATAAAAAAAGATTGAATGAAAAGCTGAAACTTTCATGAGGCATAGCTTTACTACAGCCAATACAGGACTATAATTTATCACAGTAAAACATTCTTCACCTTTGTATGGCATTTTAGCCCACACCTCATTTAGTGTCATTTTATATAAGAAAAAACTATTATTTCTCCAAATGAATTAATGAATACAATTAATTTATCTCAAATCCAATTCATTTGTGACTTGATTAAATTATTGATGTTTTTATGCAACATTTTCCATTTGTTAAATGTACCTTGTTTATTGCAGTAGATGTGATAGTTATGATGTAATTCACGTGGGAACAGGATGCCAACAGTGGGATATTATCTAGATTTCTGGAAACAAAAGCACATGTTAAGAATATTCAAAAACATTTCTCATAACTCATTATTAGAAGATTAAGAGAACCAAAAGGTAAACACAGGCACATACAGACACATACATCCAAGCACACATGCAGACTCTATCATCTTACATTTCATTCAATACAAGAAAAAATTAAATGCCACAACTTTAACAATTACATGTTGACATTTTTCTTATCCATTCTTTGACATGACCTTTTTCGTAAACTTACCTACAAATAATAATCAAACATTTCATAATGTCTATAGAAAAATAAAGGGTGTCTTTTGTCAAGGAGAGATGTTCCAAGCAATGATCACGTGTCTGGCATAAAAAGAACCCAAAGCACTGGAGGAATCCATCAGGCAAATCACTAAGGTTTGGTCCATCCTCCACTGACCTATGGTGGACAATTAATAAGGTCAGAAAAGAGACAATTATTGTACATCCATTTATCCTTGAGTATACAACTGTTTTACAAACACAGTATTTTGTTTCATTAAAACAACTTAATTTTATCCACATAATAATAAATCAAGTAAAAATTTCAACTATTTCAATAAACATTCTTCTTGATTAACCCAAATTATATCATCTTCATTTCAAAATATACAATGTGTCATTCAAAAAGTAGTACTTGTGAACAGCTGATTTTTCTACGAAAAACTGATCTTAAAACCATGCATTCCCCCCCCTCCCCCAAGATATAAATGGTGAAAATAACAAAAAAAAATCATAAAATAAACAAAAATGTAAGAATTAATGTTGTGGATCATTTTTCTTTCAAGATATTTTTTTCACAGTATAATAAGATAAAACTTAAGTGTTCCTCATCGGCAGTTCTCAAGACTCATACTCACAGAATGCTCTCTTCAGTAAGTTGAGTAAACTCGAGGTCCACCAAATGCTGGTGCTTCTCCAGAAAAACCTTCACATACTGAGATAAAGATGACACAGTTTTCTGCAAGAAAATTCATACATAACTCATTGACAAAAACTGACTAATATTTGATAACTATCAAATAGTTTACTATCAAGCAATTATCTTCTCTTTTTAATTTTTTTTTTTTTTTTTTTTTTTGCTAAAAACAGATTTTTTTCTAAATTATTATCAGTTTCCATTTCGTATAAGCCCCTTCTAATGCATGGCCAAAATGGAATAAAATAGACTCGTAATATTGGTGAAATAAAAAAAAATTCATTGTCTACTATGTAATGATGGTAAAATTAATTTCCAAAGAAAATAAACATGTTTTTTTACCTATTGGCCAAAACCTTTGAGTTTTGGTCAAAATGTTGTGACTCATATGAAAATAAATCTTAAGTCTCTATAAATTAAAGCAATTTACTAATTTACTGTTTTACTACATTTGTGTCATTAAGGTTTTTGTATTGAAAATACACATCTAGAATAAAAAACAAAAATGAGATAGTAACCAATAGCTGGGACTTATATTTATCATACATGTTAGATCACCATGACAACTGTTCTTAACATACTGGCAGTTTATGGTCGTGGTCCATAATTTTCACCTGTCAGCAGATGGCATTCAGGCATTGATCAAACCAGAAGACTGTCCACAATGTGATGTTAAACATTATATGTAAATATGGGCCGTGATGAGTAAAGCCATTGAAAAGAGTTTTAGTTCAAGCTAAATAAGTGGTCATCAGCAATATGACATTGGTCATAAATCACTTCTTAAGAGAAATACATACAATTCCATATGCATTTTATTTGACAAAATCATATGAAAAACACTGCTGCTTAAGTCTGTCTAAGAAAAAAGCAGACTAATAAAATAAATGATTCATAATTTGTGTCTGCATAGGTATCTTTCCAATTTAAATTATAAAAAAAAGGTTATTTATGAAAAGTTTCTTCAGCTTTAAGCATTTAAAAAATATACAGATATTAACTTCAAGTAGATTTAAAGTAGATTTTAATGATTAAAAAAATATTTTGTTAAGAATTTAACTGTTTGCTTTTAAATAAGCCTGCACATTTACCAAACAACCTGCACCCTACTTCATTACTTAGTCATGCCCAATACATGAAATATTAATATCATTCTGTGACAAAATTATACAATATCACAATGATTTTTATCTGAATGAAAAATACACATTCATGTGCAAAATAGGTATTTATATAATATATCTACCTTGTAATGAGGTCAAAACATTGTGACCCTCTGTTGCAATATGTAAGATCCAGCACAAATTAAGTCAATGTCATTTCCAACATTATCTTAGTCTTAAACAACTTGATGAATCAAAACATTCTCTTTGCTATGTATTAAATAAAAACTGAGTATTTCTGTTCTCTACTATAAGTTAATAAAAAGGTTATAACATCCCTACAAGACCAAAAACCTAGGATATATACCTATCAAGGTGAACACACTTCAGTTTTGGTTGTGTCATTCACCTTATGGATAAAACTGAAAGCCCCCCCCCCCTTCTATATTCGATGTTCATGTACCAGCAATTTACTTCACTACCATTCCAGATCTAATCCACTAGGGGAGGGCTCTCAGTTTTATCCAGAGAGAGTATCACATTGTTGCATGATGTAACTGAAACTGAAGAACACTTTTATGGGTACATCAACATTCTGCTTATAAATATTTCACAACCTACTAGCTAGGATTCATCTACAAGAGGGGCAAAGGTGCGATATCAGCCAATAAGGTACAATACTTAGGAGAGATTGTATTCGCATAATAAAAGTTAAAAATCAATTGATTGGTAAAGACACCCTAACCCCCCCCCCCCCCCTTCTTCCTACTCTACCTTACTAAAAGTTGAGTACAATATATTGCTGGAAAACATAAAGACTAAATAACAGTAACAATCTTAGCATCAGTCTTATAAGTTATAGATTACGATAGATAACTAAAATTGCTGACAATTAGCGATCAGCAACTGATCAAGGCATCTTTCATTGTAATTAAGTAGCTTTTTGTTTTTATGTTACAAGGTAATGGCTTGGTGGTCCATTAAACCAAGGTAGGACTCTATATTAGTATAGATACACGTCTTAACTAGCTTCTCTGTAAAAACAATTCAAAACATCTTTTAGTGTGTTTGAAGTAAATTTTAAGGCTTCAAATACAGGCCTGTAAAACATGACTTCACTTCAGAAGTTCAGATCTACACCACCTACAAAAGCCAACGCGGAAGTTGATTTATAATGCTACACACGCCAAACGGGCACCCCCGACTACATGTGTATACAAATCAATGAGACCACAGGTGCTACAAAACTTTTAAGACGAAAACATACCTCTTCTTTATATTTCTTCCACAGCTCTTGCAGTTGTTCTTCTGATTCGGGTTGCATTTTGGATTGCAACTGGCTGAGAACTTTTTAAGCCCCGCACATTATCATAACAAAAATATATATTCTACCTGGCGGTGTCTACATCCGGTTAATTGAAATGGGCGAAAAGTACCCACCGATAAGACGTTTACTAAAACCGTTCGTGGCTTTCCGAAAAACTGAACGATGTACTTTGGTAATAATAATAATGAATTAAAAACAAATCAAAGTTGAAAAATTTTAAGTATTTATCAATTATTAACGTGATCCACCTCTTTTATTATTTATTTATTTATTTATTTATTTATTTATTTATTTATTTATTTATTTATTTATTTATTTATTTATTTATTTTTCACGTGTTAAAAAATAAAAAGTGAATTTATAAAAACAAATTAAAATAAACAAACCTAGCCGGTCTCTCTCATTAACATCTACAAACGTCCACAAACGACCTCAAACGTCCACAAGCATAAAATGATTGGAAAATGAGTTCATACAGTATATATTTGACATAAGAAGGCATTTCCCCGAAAAAAAGCCATTTACAGTGGCGGATTTAGGGGGATCAGGGGGTTCAGACCCCCCTACTTCGATTTCTGAAAAAAATCACACCAATTTTGACTAGCTGAATCATAATTTTAAACCGTTTTTCGGAGCCTTTCAGCGGGCCCCTAACCCCACGCCTGGGGGGGGGGG